GCGCAGGGCGACCGGCTGCGCTCCGCCTCCTCCTCCTGCTGGGCGGTGAGCGCCGCGCCCCGGGCCCGGGCGGGAGGCTCGGGAGGCCCTGGAGGGGAAAGGGGCTAGACGGCCGAGGCCCGAACGGGCTCCGGGGAGAGGGTGCGGACAGCGCCGTCCTTCGGACGGCCCGAGCCCGCTCGCGGTGAGAGCGCCCGCTTGGGGAAAGCCGGGGTGCGGGGCCTCGCGAAGAAATCCTCGGCGGTCTGGGGCTGGCGAGGAGCGGGGGGGCTTGGGCCTGGACGTGAAGGGAAAGGAGCCGGGACCAGCCCTTCGCCTCCAGGCGCCGAGGCACCCCCCCACCCCTCCGGACCTGGATTATTCCTTTTCCCTTTCAAGAGTAGCCAGAACTTCTGAGGGTCTCCAACTCCCAAGCACCTCCTCTTCCAGGCTCCACTGCCTGCAACCCCTCGTCCCACTTCCCTCTCCCATTTCTGCTTACAGCTGTCCTGAAGCCCCAGGAGTCCTTGGCTCAGCTTCATGCCTCCCCAGACATGCCTCCCCAGATTGAAGGTGCGTGCCGGCGCAGTGGGAAGGTGATCTGGGACCAGGAGGTAGCGGCCGGGACTACTGGGAGGGTCCCTTTACCGCAGGCAGGCCCCAAACTTAATCGGAGACCCCAATAAACGCCCTCTGTTCCCTCTTAGGGAAACTTGCAGTCTCCCTCCCTCTCACCCCTCACTGCCCACTCTACACTGGCTCACCTCGTAAGTGGGTTAGAATGAAAAAGGTTATGTGGAAACTCCTGCAGGCTGGGAAGGAAGTGCTGCTCCCATAGAAGGCATTAAAAACCTCCTGGCTGGAAGGTTTGAACTCCCCTCAACTAGAAAGGTCTTGCTTTCTGAGATCCTCCTGGTGATTCCCACCTCTGAAGGCATTGGTCCTCATGTCCCAGTCCCAGGGCCAGTATTTGCCCAGGGATGGGAGTACCAGAGAGCTTGGAAGCGGGGCAGGGGCTTGGTCAATGTGCTGCATCTGTGCCCCCAGGGAAACGGGTGGAGATCTACGAGAAAAATATCTACTTGTGCTGGCAAGGCTATAAGAATCATATGGACTCTGTGGAAGAAGACTGGTGCGACTGGGCTTTGATTAGCAGGTAGGAACTTTGCTGGGTTGGGGGCCCAGCTCCTCGTGGGTGGGCCTTGAGTGACTGTGGCACGCCTCTCTCTGGGATTACCCCTCCCTCACACTGGTCGTCCTCTCCCCCAGGCCTTACAGCGAACTGAGAGCTTGCTTGGAGCATGAGGCAGAGGAGTTTGGCCTGAGTTTCCCCAATCCCATGGCTGAACAGATCATCCTTGAAACTCACCAGATCCACTTTGCCAATTGCTCTCTGGTGCAGCCCACCTTCTCAGATCCCCCAGAAGGAGTGCTTCTGGCCATGATCATAGCTCCCATCTGCCTCATCCCCTTCCTTGTGACCCTTGTGGTGTGGAGGAGTAAAGACAGCGAGGCCCAAGCCTAGGTGGCAGGAACTTCTCAGCAGCCACCCCTGTCCTCTCCTCTTCCTTCCCAACTCCTCTCACTCCCACCCTCACCGAAGATCCATGGGTCAGTGGAAATGAAAACCGGATGGGGTGATCGTACAAGTTCTCTAATCTTCAAAATAAAACTTTTTTGTCCATTGTCCTCCCCATGCCAGCAGGGGTTTGTATCCTTCCCCCAGTCTCTGCCTTTCTCACAGGTACTGTCTCAGCTCTGGGCAGCAAAACTCAAGAATTTTGGTAATCCCACTGTTTTGTTGGTTTACCTGCCCCCATTCCCCTCCCCCACACCTGAAAGTCACACCCCTATACCACTTCCTCCCCAGGCGGTGCCTTTCCTGCCCCAATCCAAACCCTGCTCCAGGATAAATGCAGGAAGAGACTCCCTTCCGGTCTGGACAGCTGCTGGAGAGGTGTGGGGGAAGCGATAGGGAGGAATCTCTGCTGTGAAAACTGCAAGAAGGAAGGGGGACCAACTGGGAGCCCTGAGTTTTCTCCTGCATGGCTCAGTTTACTCCCAGGGCCTGGAAATAGAAACTTTCATCTGACCAACAGGTCTTCATCCTTATGGCCTTCAAGGTTCAGAAACGTGGAGGAGGGGCCTCCTCACCACAGGACTCTCCCTCCAGGTCCCCTGCCCTCATTCTATCTTGTTCTGGGGGTGGGGGGGGGGGAGGGAGTTGGGGGAAGGGTGAGTACAGCTTGCGGAACACTGCCCCCTGGTGACCATGAAAGTCAACAACCAGAAGATGGACGTGACCTGGAAGGAGCTAGAAGCAAGAAAGGATTGGATCCTGGGGTCAGACACCTGTCGTCTCCATAGCAACCACTAGTTTTTAGTTGGATGCTATTAGCTTCTAGAACCACACTGGTACTTTGGGGGGACATACCTAGACTTCCTGAGCTTCATCCTTTCTGTGTACTGACGCTCCTATACGTCCCTGGAAGTGAGGCTGTTTTCATCAGGGGAGCTTCACTTCAGTTCTCCCTGCGAGGTCATGAAAAACATCTCCATAAAGACAGTTGTGTATTCCTTGATCCCTGGAGCGTTTTTAGAGATTTTTCTCACCCTTTGTTGAAATATCTGCCTCTCTGGGTACATGCATACTTTTTCCTGGACAGCATGTCTATTCCATAGATAGAGTCCTGCATGCTTCTTGGAATATATTTATTGACTCTCTAAGACACATTTCTCCTCTCAAGACATATCTGTCTTTCAAGAGACAGATACTTTGCTGGGATATTTTGAGTTTCACCTGAGATGAAACTTTGCTGTTTCCATGAATACATCTAGCCTCTTCTAGCTGTATCTGCCTTTATGTATCTTACTAATAAACAACAAGAGCATGCTGGGATAAGACCATGTAAGTGGCATATTATATTGGAAATACACACTAGGTAGGGCCTGGTTTCTGCTCTCAGTGGTTTTCATCTTGTAGCAGAGCTAACATGTACACAAAAATAGGGTGTGTGATGAGAGTCAGGCGGGAGGTATAAACCAAATGTCATCTGAGTACACAGGAGAGAGAGTCACATCTAGCAGAGGTGTGACCAGGAGAGTGACTGTGTAATTGGTCTTTAGATGCTGTGTGTTCCTCTAAGGCAGAGAAAACAAAAGGAGGTGAATCAAGAATTTACCTCAGGAAATTATTGCAGTATCCCAGGTTTAAGGAAATAAGGACATGACCAAAGGAGGGGCAAATGACAAAATGGAAAAATAATGTACAAGTAACAGAGATGATTAGAAATAGGGGAGGGAGTTGGATCAGAAGGACATGAGAAGAGCAGCTACAGCTGACTTTCCCTTTTTCCCTCCCCAAGACTACAAACATGTTCAGATCATACTTGAAAATACATACAGTTTCTGTACATATTCTGTCGTTCTATTTCCTGCCTGATCTCCAACCTTCCCCCATCCAAGTCCATCATTCATCATGCAGAGTTCCTGGTCCACACAAGCGCACAACAAGTATTTGTTGAACGAGTGAACCTGAGTTACTAGGACAACAATGGAAGTAATAATAGAAAAGGGCCATTAGGAAGAGGAGCTGACATACACAAAGGGATGTATGTGAGGAGATAACAATGGAACACAATGGAACAACTGTCAGGCCCCACAGAGAATTGGAAATTGGATCAGTCATGGTGGTAGAGAAAGGTTGTAGCTGGTAATATAGACTTCTGTGCAGAAGTGGTATATGAAGTCACTAGAGATGAGAAAGAAAGGGGGTATTGAAAATGAGAAGGCTGAGGTAAGGTTCTTAGGAAATACCCACATTTAAAGTAAATGGGGAAACTCTGTCTCTGGTGAATCCTCCCCCCACCCCCCACACCTCTGGCCTGTACCCCAGTTCTTGTATGCATAAAGAAATAAATCTTTTTAAGAAAGATAAAGTACATGGGAAAAGGTGACAAAGGGATAGATCAGAGAGACAGTGGGTGGATGAGGATACAGCAGTGCCATAGAAGCAAAGGAGACAATGCCCTTAGAGAGAACACTGTTGAGTGAATTGTCCATTCACTCATTCAACAAATATTTATTGTGCACCTGTGTGGACCAGAAACTCTGCACAATGAGTGATGGACTTGGATGGGGGGAAGTTAGAGATCAGACAGGCAGGAAACTACATATTTTCAAGTATGATCTGAACATGTTTATAGACTTGGGGAGGAGCCATGGAAAAGGGAAAGAGGGAAACTTCTCCAGAGAAGTCCTGGAGGATGCTGGAAAGGAGCAGCAAGAAGACATACCCAAGTATTGGCCCTGTATAGGAAGAGACAAGTCTTCCTTGTAGTTCAAAAGGGAGGCATAAAAGTGAAGAGAATTTTTTGAAGGATGAATTAAATGTGACAGGGAACAATTAGGTTCACATGCATGGCCTCAGTCTCATAAAAGGGAAATTATGGGGGAGGGGATCAGCTACTGGACAGGTGGATGTGTGGGAAGGTTTGAAGAACTGTCGTTAGGGGTGTGCCAGTGAAAGGAAAACAATCACTGGACTGGACTGAGAGCCAGGCATTGGGGTTAGTTACAGAACCTGGGACTCAATCAGCTTGTTCTGGTTCTTTTTCTCCCAGCAATACTCAGGGTTCCCTAGGTGGGGAGGGAGGCAGGGGGCAATAATCCTTATTTGGAGACTGATCAGCAGGTAGACAAGCAAGAGTACAGACCTGAATAGTCTAGACTTGTTAAGGAGTCAGGTAAAACCAAAAGGGGTCTTGGGACTTGAGACTAGAATGGTAAGGACATGAGAGAGATGAGAGACACATGACCGTGGTTAAAGTCCGCAGCTCTAAATCACAGACGCAGAGACGTCTCAAGTGATGAAAGCTACAAATGTGTTCCCACGGGTCTTGGAGGAGACTGAGAAAGGCTGGGGTCAATGGATATGGGAACTGAGGAGACTAGGGAATTGGGAGGCATTTAAGTTAAATGGCCATTGACAACAGCGGTGTGATTAAAAGAAGCTCAACATCGTGGAAGCAAACCTAGCCTGGGCTGTGGCGTCTTGGGTTCTATCTGCAGCTCTACTAACAAACAGTGCCACTTTGGAGGAGTCTGTGGCACTGCCCTTCAATGAGGGGGCTGAATCAGAAACATCTCGGGCTCCCTCCTGCTCTAAAGACGTTTAGGAGACCAGCGAGTGAGCGGTAGACAAGGAAGCGGGCACCCCGGAACCTTTCTGCTGCGCCTTCTGCGCGGACGTGCTAAAGCGGAGACCGGAAGTCCACTGCCCGGAGGTTCCGGGTTTCCTGGGCTACTACGATGGCGATGAGTTTCGAGTGGCCGTGGCAGTATCGCTTCCCGCCCTTCTTTACGTGAGGCTCAGACCCCGCGCAGCCCCGCAGAACCTCCCTCCCCGCCCTTGGGCCCTGGGCTCAGCCCTGCCGCTTCACGGGGGGAAGGGGAGAAAGCACCCGGTGGCCACTGCCCTCAGTACCTCACTTTCTTCCCCTGCGCTCTTCCCGGGAAGTGCTGCCTCGCCCGCTCACGCCCTCTAATTCTGCGCCCCATCCCCTTCACCCGGCAGGTTACAGCCGAACGTGGACACTCGGCAGAAGCAGCTGGCCGCCTGGTGCTCGCTGGTCCTGTCCTTCTGCCGCCTGCATAAACAGTCCAGCATGACGGTGATGGAAGCCCAGGAGAGCCCGCTCTTCAACAACGTGAAGCTACAGCGTATCCTCTCAGGCTCTTCCACAGCCCACACAGTGCTCTTCCACACTGCCCCACGTACCGGGTTTCAGACACCCTCTTCACCCACCGTAGGCAGCTTTCCACCCACACGGAAACTGGGAAAGAGCAAGAACGTGTAGCAGTTAGCCCTGAGCTCCCAACTCAAATGCAGCACCAAACTCTCTTGTCCTAGGCAGCACTGAACACCCAATTTCAGGTCTTAGAATCTCTGTCCTGAAACTTAAGTCCCAAACTTCTCAGGCTCAACTCATTTGGCTGTTTGAGTCTCCTGTTCTGTGTGAGCTCAAACGTTGGTACTTCATTTAGTAATTTTCTATGCCTACTCCCCTCCTCCCAGAAAGTAAGGGTCATTTGTTTTTGCTGCCTGATTCATAATTAGAATATGAATTTTAAGATATAAAGGCTGAAGAAGGAGAGGGGACAGTGGGTGAGGGGGAATGGTAGTTACCTTTCATTTTCTAAAGCTGTTTCTTGTAACAGAACTAGTTTCTATTAACCTCACCCCCCCCCGCCCCCCAGTATCCAGAAAATGCCAACTTATATCCTCTTGGAAAGTTTAATTGCACATATATGTGTGTGGGAGGAAGAGGACAGGGGCAGGTGGTTCTCAGCATGAGACTGACAGAGAATTTTTATCTCACCTAGTTCATTCCACTAATGCCATTCCCTTAACATTAAACCAGGAAAGCTCCCTGTGGAATCAATCCAGATCGTATTAGAGGAACTGAGGAAGAAAGGTGGGTTGTTTCCCAAATTCTTATTTTTCTTCATAGTTGGGTTTTCCTGAGAAGAGATTAGCAGAAGTCTTTTCCCTTCAGTAATATGTTTTTCCTCCAGAGTGTTCTGTACAGCTGACAGCCCAATTCCCCAGGTCCTTTCATACCCCTCCCCAATTTTTTTTTTTTTAAAGATTTATTTATTTGTGCATACAGAACTGGGGCACAGGCCAGAGGCTCAGGGGCGGTGAGAGGCTTCACCAGAGACAGAGTGGGGAACAGAACAGGCAGATCCACGAAGTACACTGCTGAGGGGAGCAGCGGGCGGGTCAGGAGAGGTCTGCCACGCCATGTGGTCACCTCCGGGGCAGGCGGGAATCGAACTCATGCAGAAGTAGCTTTAGATTCTCAATGCTGCGTTTTAACCCGCTGTGCCACCAGGGAGGGCCACCCCTCCCCAATTTATACAAAATGGACACCTCTCCACCTGTGTCCTAAGACCTGAAGAGAGGTAAAAGATAAAAGGATGTCTTGTAGATAGTAATAGTAAGGCAAACCTTAGTTTCTTGTTCTGAAAGTTGAGTCTCTTCCTCTCTGCTCCACCTTTTTGCTTTTTTGTCCCATTTTAGAGCATGATGCTTTCATAAGTATCTTTTACAGGGAACCTGGAGTGGTTGGATAAGAATAAGTCTAGCTTCCTGATCATGTGGCGGAGGCCAGAAGAATGGGGGAAACTCATCTATCAGTGGGTGAGACTGTCCTGCCAACGGGGACCCAAGTGGCAAGAAGCATTATGTCTGTGTTCAGCAGATACCTTGTTTCCAGATCCAGACTGAGCAAAGTGGGAGGGGACAAGAAAGAGGAAGTGTAGATGCTCCAGGCAAATCTTTCAGTGACTGCCTGAATTAGATTGCAGTAGAACTTCTGGCCTGTAGGAGGCCAGAGGCTAGGTGAGGCCGTGTTTGGAGAAGGCTGTACTGGGAACCACCAGTACTATTGTTGGCTGGAACCGCTGGCCACAGAAGATAAATGGGGAAAGGAAGGGGGAAAAAAAAAACTGGCTCCTCTCCCACTGCACCCTGATGGGGCTGTCCACAACAGGAATGGGACATTTTGAACCACTGTGGGTTTGGGGACAAACTCCTTCCCCCAAATTCCCAGCTACCACCAGCCCATAACATTCCTCAGGGAGTGAGGTGCGGGAAAGAAGAGTCAACAATCCAAATATAACAGATACACCGCCCTGTATGAACAGGAAAACAACCAGAATGAGAGCTGACCCCTCACACACGTGAACGCCTGCGTTCAGACGTTCTGAATGAGCGCATACACATATAAATATAGCGCCTGTACGGTTTGTGGTTTACACCACTCCTCTCAGAGGACCACTGAGCCCTGGTTTGGGAATAGGTACCATTCTTGGATCACAGAGGTGGAACTGGAGATCCTTGGTTCTTATTCAGTCCCTTTTTTCTGTGTCCATAGGTTTCCAGGAGCGGCCAGAATAACTCCGTGTTCACCCTGTATGAACTGACCAATGGGGAAGACACAGAGGATGAGGGTAATCCTGTCCCCCAGTTTTGACATCTGAATCCTGCTCCAGGCCGTGCTTAATTGACATTCAAGGAAAATCAGAGAATTTGTCCCTAAATTCTTAGTACTAAAATGCAATGTCCTTAACCCATGTCCAAAGTTTCATAAGCCACCTGAATGCTTGTGCAAAAACCCTCCCAAATTTTGTGTGGGTGTATGTGCATTCTTTTAGAGACAGAGTTCATATGACAAGATTTTCAAGAGTATCTGTGACCTGTGAAAAGTTAAGAATTACTGGTGTAGATGTTGAATGAGGAACCAGGGCAGGGGATTAATCCTGAAATCTCACTCCTTGCTGACTCAGGCTTCCTTTCACCCTTTATTCTTATAGAGGGCTCAAGACTTGTGGGCGGCAGCTGAAGGGATTGGGCCAACATCCCCACCCCCACTCCCAGCCCTTTTAAATACCTTGGTTTTTGGCCAGGCAAAGATTTGTATAGTGTTTGGTTTTTACATAGTGTAAGTACTGCTCTCTTAGCTCTTTTATCTCTGACTTCACATTCTCATCCCTAGGATCACCAAAAGTTCCAATCTTAGCTGGGTGAAAGGGATGCCTCCCATTTCTGCCAGGCCCCGGCTGTACCAACAGCATTTACAGTTCTTGGCCATCACCCCCACACACTCACACCTCCCCTCCCCTGCCCTGCAGGCCTCTGCTTGCTACTCCCACCATCATGCCATGACTTCAGCCGCTGCAGCCTTGCCCAGCCCACCACTTAGACTGAGCAGAGCTGGAGGCTTCCTTAGAAAGCAAGCTCCTGAACTGGAGCTGGGCCCCACAGGGGGTGAGGTGGTGTGCTGGCCTGTTAGGGCTTGCCTCCTGCCTCTCACATCTCCCTGTAGTGTCTTCCCGTATCTCCAAGTGCTCAGCTGGCCCTTGGCCCTCAGCCTGTTTCCTTTAACGAGAAAAAGGCAGATATCTGTGTTGAACCTTAAGATGTCTTCTGGCCAGAGGTATGGCTATGCTTCATATACTTATGATGGGTACCTGTGTGACTAAGGGTCCCTGGACTCTGGACACAGTGACCAGGGACAAAGGCCTTTATCTCCCTAGGCTTGATTGTCAATCAGGGTCCTCTCTGTGGCCCACAAGCAAAGTTTGTCACTCACCTGCATGAGACACAGGGTGAGGGCACATGAGTCTGACAGAAGACCAGGAAGGGGGAAATAAACATGCACTCATCTCATGTTGACTCAGACTGTCTTCCACCCCTTACCCCAAGGGGTGCCTGGGAAGGATGGGTGGTGGCTGCAGCAGTGTACAGGGCACGTGCCTACCTTGGCCATGTGAAGTCTCAGCTTCCAGCTAGACAACTCTCCTCAGAGTCTTGGGCTTTACGTTGCTGACTGTCCCTTACTACCTGTTTCTTCTTGTCCAGAGTTCCATGGGCTGGATGAGGCAACCCTACTGCGCGCTCTACAGGCCCTGCAGCAGGAGCACAAAGCCGAAATCATCACTGTCAGCGATGGCCGAGGCGTCAAGTTCTTCTAGCAATACCTGTCGCCCTTCTTACCTCCTACCCTGACAGGGCTTCAAAGGGAGACAGACCCAGTGTCCCCACCGGCTGGATCTCTGCCTCTACCAGACTCAAAAGGGCTCTAGTCCAGGGATGGGGTCCCACTTACCCCATGTGTCTGTCCCTGGGTTGGGTGAGGGTGAGGTAACCGGGAGAAAAGATGTGCTTCTCTTTTTCCCACCTCTGCTCCCATCCTAGTTAGCCCTGAGCCAGGCTCTGTAAATCTAACACTGCACATATGTTCACACACATAAGTTCACACACACACACACCTGCACAAGCATCTGTCTCTTCCCCCTCCTACTCCCTTAGCTGCTGTTGCCTCCCTCTCAGGCTGGTGCTGGATCCTTCCCAGGGGATGGGGGAAGCCCTGGCTGCAGGCAGCCTTCCAGGCAGTATGAAGATAAGAGGCCCAAGTAGGGGCCTGACAGTGAAAGGCAGGGTGGGACACTGATTTATGATATTAAAAAAGTTCAACCCCACTGCGTGCCTTTGCATGTACTCCTGACTCCTGAATGGGCCCCAGAGGACCACGGATTGTTACCCTTGAGTGAATCCCAGCAATGAGAGGGGCAGTGAAAATGTGCTCCAGTGCTGGCGGGCTCCAGTGAGCCTGTGGTTTTGCATTTGCTGGGTGGGCTGTGTGGGGGAGTACTGATGGAACACAGCTTGGGGACAGCCTGCTTTCTGTCTCTGAGTTGACTAGTTTAATGGTTTCCCCTACTCTCACTATCTCCCCCGAGAAGACCTGAAGCGCTCTGGAGCTCCTCCCTCCCACCCCGGTCTGGGTGGGGTAGTGGAGGCCAAGGGGAGCAGAGGGAAAGCATACCGGATATGGACTTTGGTTTATTGGAAACTGGCGAGTGTGAGAGGCAGGAAAGAGGGCCCACATAGCAAAAACAGCCGCTCTGGCCAGGGCCAGGATGCGGTCAAGGTAGAGGGGTGGAGGGGTTGGGTGACTGACTCCTTAGCAGGGGGAAAGGGACTTGCCTTGGGGTGCATCTTTGTGCCCCAGCAAAGGGCCCGCGCCGCCGCGGAGAAAACCCGGACCTTTCCGTTGACCTCAGCATGTTCGGCCTGGGGCTCCTCCGGACGATGGGAAGGAGTGGCGCTACTTTATCTGGGGCCTGCAGGCGGTGGTAGCCTCCCCCCAACTACCCCCTTTTCTAGAGCCGGGGAACCAAGGTCAAGTTTTCCCTTGCTACCCCTTTACCCCACCCCTCCCCAGCTCAAACAGTTCTGCGCACCCAGGGCGGGAGCACCCCTACAACCTCGCACCCCTCTGAGAATGGGACTGCAAACGGGTGCCCCAGGAGGTGGGGGTGGGGCGGGGGCGGGGCGGAGGCTGAGGTGTGGACTTGAGCACCGCGAAGACGGCTCGCCGCCGAGGGGCGGCTCTGGGGGGTACAGGGGGCGGGGCTGGAGGCGGGGCGGCGGGGCTGGCCAGCCAGGGTTTGGGGCCCCGGCGGCTGGGCCCGAGAGCTGCACACCCGCCCAGTTTCCCTGTCAGGCCGCCTCCTCTCCAGCCGCCGGTCGCTGCTCTGCGGTGGCCAGCTCTTCCTTATGCTGGCACCCCCGACCCCAGAGACCGCGGTCCCCATGTCCCAGGCAGAGGCCGACCTGGCTCTGCGGCCCCCGCTGCCGCTCGCCGCCGCGGGGCCGCCCCGCCTGGGGCCCCCTCCTCGCCGGGTGCGCCGCTTCTCGGGGAAGGCTGAGCCCCGGCCGCGCTCTTCCCGTCTCAGCCGCCGCAGCTCAGTCGACTTGGGGCTGCTGAGCTCTTGGTCCCAGTCCGCCTCACCCGTTCCGGAGTCCCCAGATCCTCCGGGCGCTGCTGGTCCCGGCCCCCCGGGAAGCCCACCGCCTAGCTCCAAAGAGCCCCCAGAGAGCACATGGACCGAAGGATCCCCGGGGAACGCCGCGGATTCCACCCACCCGGAGCCCGCGGGCTCCGCGAGAGGCCCCGGATCCAGGGAACCGCCGAGGGTCTCCGAAGCCGAGGCCCTGGAGCGGCAGCGGGAACAAGAGGAAAAGGAGGACACCGAGACCCAGGCGGTGGCCACGTCCCCGGACGGCCGATACCTTAAATTTGACATCGAGATTGGACGTGGCTCGTTCAAGACGGTGTATCGAGGGCTGGACACCGACACCACCGTGGAGGTGGCCTGGTGTGAGCTGCAGGTGTGGCTGGGTATCTCCGCGGTCGCACCTCGGGACGGGACCTTTAGGAAGTCTTGGGATGGGTCACCCCGGGGACAGCAGCGAGGGAGGGATGTGTCTTCCCAGTGAAATGTCCAGACATTCCTTCGTCCTTTGCTCTGGTCTTCCGTGGACTTGACTAAGGGCTGCCCAAGGAGAATGAAACAGGTGGTATCTGGTGCTTCCCCTATGGGGGCTTTGGAGTCCCCATTCTGAAGCCTCCATAGTCTGAGAGCTGGAAAATCGAAAGGGAAGCTGAATAGGGAGCCAGTCCCGATGAGGAGGGTGGCCTCATCACTTTCCTGCAGGGAAGAACTCACTGTCCCTTTTGCTTTCCCTGAAATCCTCAGACCCTCCGTGTGGCCGGGGTCCTCCTTCTGCCTCACTCTGGGTGTGCGAATTAGGATGCTGGGGTGATGGAGGCCAAGAGCTTGAGTAGGGTCCTTCCACCTCCTGAAGGCTTCCCAAGTCCCTTCCTAAGCAGTTAGACTTCTGGAGTTCTCCATAGCGGGGGGAGGGGGAGACAGAACTCTAGCCCTGGCCTGAGTCCAGTCCTGCTCTTTATCCCTCTGCCTACCTAGGCTTCACTTTCCAAACTCAAAGGCATCTGAACCCTGTGGGCTTTGGGGAACGATGGTTTGCAGGACTTTTCTCGCACCAGGGAGAACCCAGTTAAGTCCGATTCAGAACGGGGGACAGAGCCTGGGGGAAGGGTCCTCCCCTGGAGCCCTGGCACCGGGCTTGCGCCTAGTGCCTGCCAGTGCCGCGCCCCAGGCCCTGGGCCAAGCTAGGAGAGGCAGCCAAACTGGAGGGTGGCGGGGGAGGGAGATGAGATGGGGCAGAACGGGCTGGGGGCAGTCTCCTGGCACCTGGTCCTGGATCCTTTCTCTGTCTACTTCCCTCCGCAGCCCTCCAGTCTGGATCGAGCAGTTAGTTACCAGTTTCTAGGGCCAGCCCCCTTGCTGGTCCCAATTCTCTGCTCGCCATCCGCCTGCTGCCTGCCCACTGCCAAGCACTGGGGCACCCCCTCCCGCCACACGGCTGGCCCTGGCAGCCACAAAGGCGCTATTGAGCCCAGGGCTTCCAGACCTGGCTCCATAAAGACGCTTGTGTCCGGTGGGGGTCCAAGGGGCGGGCCCCAGGACCAGGATTGGAGGGTCGTTAGAGCAACCCAAGGGGGTGGACCAGGAATTCGGGGATCTATCGCCAGTTGGAAGAACAATCCCACTGTCCTAGCTCCAACTCTTCAACCCCCTCTGTTCCAACCTTCACTTCTCCCTTTAGCCCCACCCGGAGTAACCTCATTTCCCTCTTCATGGGGGTCCTGTGCTTGACGTATTGCATAACTCCCACCCCACAGACCCGGAAACTATCTCGAGCTGAGCGGCAGAGATTCTCAGAGGAGGTGGAGATGCTCAAGGGACTGCAGCACCCCAATATTGTCCGCTTCTATGACTCATGGAAATCAGTGCTGAGGGGCCAGGTTTGCATCGTGCTGGTCACCGAACTCATGACCTCGGGCACGCTTAAGACGTGAGCTCTGCACCTAGTGGTGGTGGTGGTGGGAGGGTGATGGGAGGTCCCCACTTCTGGAACTTCTCCCTGGCTCCTCAAACTCTACACCCAGGTCCAAATCCAAGCTCACAATCCCTCATCCACCCTTTCCATGTCCTTGCCCTGGAGGATGGCAGCATTTAACAATCCAGTCCAGACTCTCCATCTCTCCAGATCCCTCCTCTCTCCACCTGGTGTATCTCCTTCTCCCCACTGATCTCCAAGTGTTTATGTCTCCCCACTGACCCTTCGCTGCCCATCCTCTTTGCCATATCACTGGTCTGGATTCCTGCAGCAACCTCCTACAGCACCTTCCTCTCCATGTTCTCTAGTCTTTCTGCAGCCTGGGGTAACCCTCTGCAGGAGGAAGCTGACCTATTCATCCCCCTCCTTAGAACCCCTTCAACACTTCTCACTATCCTGGGCATAAAGTCCACACTTGTTGACCTGTTCACAAAGTCTTTAGGATCCACCCTATCTTCTGCCAAAGTTCCAGACAAACAGATTTCCCAGCAAACTGCCCCCACCCCCGCCCCAGCCTGCCCTTTCACTGGCTGTCTCTGTGCCTTTGAGCACGGGTGTCCTGTCTGCCTGGAAAGTCTCCATTTCTGTCCCTTTTCATCCTTCTCTTCTTCAAGACACAGCACAAAAGTCATTTCCTCTGTGAAGCCCTCCCCCATGCGCTGGGCAGTTAGTCATCCTTTCCTGCATTCCCAAGGCACCTTGGCCCCTGCCCCCTGTGATTTACTGCCTGGCCCATTTTGTAACCTCCTGTCTACCTACCACACCCCCAACTCAGTTTCTCCCTGGAGCAAAGCAGGCTTCTGCCTAGAATGCTGGCAGATGTCTAAATGGTGGTTGAGGGAAAGCTGGAGGTACACCCCAGTGGGGCTCCCTCCTTCCCTGCCTGTGTGGCCCCCCTGGACTCTGGCTGTGCCTCCTCTCCCAGGTACCTGAGGCGGTTCCGCGAGATGAAGCCCCGAGTCCTTCAGCGCTGGAGCCGTCAGATCTTGAGGGGGCTTCATTTTCTACACTCCCGGGTACCCCCCATCCTGCACCGCGACCTCAAGTGCGACAACGTCTTTATCACAGGCCCTTCTGGCTCAGTCAAAATCGGAGACCTGGGCCTGGCCACGCTCAAGCGCGCTTCCTTTGCCAAGAGTGTCATTGGTGTGTCCCCTTCCTTGCCACTCATCCCTCCCCAAGTCAGAAGAGAGCCTGGGGGCCCCCTCTCCTCCGCAGGGTCGTTTGAGAACCACAGAATTAGGAGACCTCTGGCCGCCCCCCCCCACCTCCACCCCGTAAGCCCCCTGGTGGGCAAGGATTGATCAGTGGCAGAGCAGAACGTGCAGGGCTTGCTTCCCAGCCTCTGCCAACCTGGGGGAAGCGATGGCGATGGCATGGCATGGGAGGGGAGGCCCTGCAGCCTGATGCCTGCTGTGGATCCCACAGGTACCCCGGAGTTCATGGCCCCAGAGATGTACGAGGAAAAGTATGACGAGGCGGTGGACGTGTACGCGTTCGGCATGTGCATGCTGGAGATGGCCACCTCCGAGTACCCTTACTCCGAGTGCCAGAATGCTGCGCAAATCTACCGCAAGGTCACTTCGGTGAGAGGGGGCGGAGAGGAGAGGGAATTCTAGGTTCCCAGCCCATTTTCCTGCTCCAACCAGTCCTCTGTCAATGATCGTTCATGAAAACAGGGTAGGTGCCCGGGCGAACACTGCAGGATAGTGGATGCATGCACGCCAGCCTCCGAGACAAGTTGTTCTAAGGCGAATCACGCGTGTAGCGCCCCCTAGAGTTTACAAATGATTTCACGTTCAAGCCCCCTGCCATCCTCACGGCTGCTCCTGGAGAGTCAGGGAAGTTCTGCCCTGAGTTTTACACAAACCGGCTCAGCGGGAGACTTGTTCGAGGTCATACAGCGGATAACTGGGAGGAAGGGGGGTGGGGCTGGGATTTGCAAACAAACATCCCAGTAGCAGTCGGCGGCCTTTGCGACCGCAGGAACCGGTTTTGGGCTTGGTGGGGAGGGTGGATCGGAGACTGGGGCGCTGAAGTCCGCAGGCTTCATGCAACCCCCTCCCCCAGGGCACAAAGCCCAACAGCTTCAACAAAGTGAAGATGCCTGAGGTGAAGGAGATCATTGAAGGCTGCATCCGCACGGATAAGAACGAGAGGTGGGCTTGAGGAGGGCACGGTGAGGTGGCTGGGGGCTGGCGGCCGCGGCGCCCGGCTCACCATCCAGGCTCTCTAGGCTCACCATCCAGGACCTGCTGGCTCACGCCTTTTTCCGCGAGGAGCGCGGCGTGCACGTGGAGCTGGCGGAGGAGGACGACGGTGAGAAGCCGGGTCTCAAGCTCTGGTTGCGCATGGAGGACGCGCGGCGCGGGGGCCGTCCGCGGGACAACCAGGCCATCGAGTTCCTGTTCCAGTTGGGCCGGGACGCCGCCGAGGAGGTGGCGCAGGAGATGGTGAGTGGAGGTCAGACCTGAGGGGCCGAGGCCGCGAGGGTGGGGCCAGGTGGGTGGGCGCGGCCCTGGCCCGCCCCTCTGGCTCCTGCACGTGTCTCCAGCCCTCCCCGCCAGCCTCGCAGGCCCACCTGCGTACACCCGTGTCCTGACTCACCGAACTAACCCCCTACAGAATCCCGAGGCTCCCCGCCCCCTTGCTTTCCTTCCTGCTGGTCTGATATGCCTGGGATGCCCATCTCTCCCATTTATTTGTTTTTCATTTTTTCACTGTTCCAGTCTTTTCTCTTTCCCCATATTCAGAACCATCAGTATGAGGAAGCCTGTCCTCTCTCAAGTGAAAATTAAAGCTTCTTTTTACTTCAGCAAGTTCTTCACTGCAGGACCCAGCACCCGGAGTCTTGTTTCTATCAGGAGATCCTCCTGTCTTTCTGCTCTATAACATTATAAGCTCCTTGAGGGCACAGACTGTTGATTTTTCTACCTCTACAGTGCTTGGTTCTTTAGTAGCTCAGTCCCTACCTAGAGTATTTTCACATGCATTTGATTGCTGTTACCAGCCCTAAATGGAATTGTTTATCCTGACTTAGTGATGAAGGTGTGAAAGCTCAGAGAGGTTGACCACCTTGCTCGAGGTCCAAACATGTGACAGAGGCAAATTAAAGCTCAGGTTAGTGGAGTTGAAGGCAGGTCCGCACCCCCCACAAAAAAAACAAAACAAAACACACACACACCCTCCTTTACATGCCCAGCAAAGCTCATGTGAAATGAACATGCAGATAATGGTGAACCATGAGAGTCATACATACATGCAGGTACACGGCATAGGAGTGGAAGTGGGGGGGACTGTCTTAGGAAGCCTGATGGGAAGGGGAGATTCTTAACAGAAAAGTGGCAGCTGCGAGGCAGGGAGATCATCTTTAGAGGTTCTTTATCAAGAACCTGAGATTGAGTTTGAAATGTGGTCTCCAGGACCTAGTTCAGACCTGATAGGAGATTTGATCCTCATCCATTACTTATAGGTGTACTTGACCTTAATGTTGTTGACGTCTTTTTATTGGGGGTGGGGGTGGGCTGTCCTGGCCATTGTAGGATGTTGAGAATCCTTGAACAAATCGACTGATTAGACTATCTCCTGTTGCGACAACCAAAAATATCTCTAGATATTGCCAAATGTCTCTCCTCCCCCAGCCCCACTTCAGCTGAGATCATCTGTGTAACTACGAACTCATGAAAGGGTCATTTACTTTACTTATTTCTAATAAGTAGTAAGTAATATGGGATTAATAAGACCCACTTTAAAAGACTATCAAGGAGGATCTAATGGCGAAAATGTAGTTGCCTGTAGAAGAACACAGTGGCTATTAGTATTGGTTCCCTTCCTCTCATATTTTGGAGGCCACAATAAGTTGCCCTGATAGGTCTTTGAGGAGAATCCCAAACTGTATTCCTCACCCTCCTAACTCCAGGTGGCCCTGGGCTTGGTCTGCGAGGCTGACTACCAGCCAGTGGCCCGTGCAGTGCGTGAACGGGTGGCCGCCATCCAGCGAAAGCGAGAGAAGCTACGGAAAGCTAGGGAGTTGGAGACCCTGCCCCCTGTGCCAGGACCCCCACCAGCAACTGGCCCCAGGGTTCCTGGTCCCCCCAGTGTCTTCTCCCCTGAGTCTGAGGAGCCAGAGGCAGACCAGCATCAGCCCTTCTTGTTCCGCCATGCCAGTTACTCATCTACCACCTGTAAGTCACCCCAGTCTTAAAGCCTGCACCCCAAGCCCCTCTGCCTTGCCCCCCAGCAACACTGCCTCTTTCCCTGCCCTCCACTCTTCCTGGAAAAGAACTGTCCCATCTCCTTCCTTGCTTAGGCAGCCCCTGAGCCAATGCACCCCATTATTTCTCCTTTTGATCCCCTCCCTCCCTTCCAACCAGCGGATTGCGAGACTGATGGCTACCTCAGCTCCTCTGGCTTCCTGGATGCCTCAGACCCTGCCCTTCAGCCCCCTATCGGGGTGCCATCCAGCCCCGCTGAGCCCCATCTCTGCCTGCCCTCGGTGAGAGGGGTCACCTGGGGTGGGGGTCCCCAGCCATTCCAAATCTACGACCTATCTCTCTCTTTATGAAACCCAACCCCATGACCTGGCCCCATGTCCCTGAAAATCCACCCCGCTTGTCATCATCTCCTTAATTACATCTCCCCAGCATCCCAGTATCCCTGATAGCATCTCCTGGGTGCCACCAATTACTTCCCTCTGAGCTCATGAACCCACTTGCTGTTTCAGGCGTTTGCCCTATCCATTTCACATTCTGGCCCTGGCAGTGACTTTCCCCCTGGAGACAGGTGCGTTCTGGTCTGAGTTGGGGTGCAGGGGTGAGACCTACAGAGCTCTGTAGAGCTCTGGGAGCTCAGTGTCTGCTCTGACATTCCTCTCTCCTTCCCCTTCCTAGCTATGCCTCAGATGCAGCAGCATCAGGTCTTAGCGACGTGGGAGAAGGGATGGGACGGATGAGAAGACCACCAGGGAGAAATCCCCGGCGTAGACCCAGATCCCGGCTTCGGGTCACTAGTGTAAGTAAGGATCACAGGAGACGGGGAATAATCTACAGTGCCAACAAGAGATTAGGGGGTTGGGGCGTAGCAGTTTGTGACAAGAGGCAGCTGGATTGGTTTCTACTACCAGACTTTGAAGTCTGAGTCAGCTTCTCCAGTTCGTCTGTCCAGCGTCACTTGGCTGGAGAGGGTGGGGACACATGATGAGACTAGAGGACTTGACCTCCCCTCACTGCTGATTTAACTCCGAAGGTCTCAGACCAGAATGACAGAGTGGTTGAGTGCCAGCTCCAGACGCACAACAGCAAGATGGTGACCTTCCGATTTGATCTGGATGGGGACAGCCCAGAAGAGATTGCAGCTGCCATGGTGAGGGCACGAGATGGTCTGGGACAACAGCCTCCCTCCTGATGGCCCCTGGTGCTGAACTCCTTCAGCACCCTACACGACAACCAGGGTTCTTGAGAGCAGAGTGGCGCTCAGTGCTGCAGATGACTTGACCCTTATGTTGGGAGATGACTGTTTATCCTTTGAGGTTTGACTTCTCAACTGGTGCAAGAGAGGGTATACACAAACGCTATGGTTCAGTGCATGCTAGATGTGATCGTGTGGCTTTAAGTAAAACATGGGCTGGGGCTGCAGGGGGCAGAGGTACAGTGTATGCAAGGTCCTGACCAGGGGCAGAGGTGGACTGTATGCAAGGTCCTGACCAGGGGCAGAGGTGGACTGTATGCAAGGTCCTGACCATTGGGTAAGAATGGCAGTGAAGAGTAGAAAGTGGCGGGACAGCATAAGCAAAGGCATGGAAGTAGGGAGTGACTTGGGATATTGGGACCGGGAGAGTTCTGTGAAGAGGCCAGTTAGTGGAACCAGGGATCCCTGTAGAATTGTGGAGGTGTGTATGTATGTGCGTGTGTAGAGTGGGGTCAGATTATAGACAGCCTGAAGAATTAACATGGTGAAAATAAATTTTCATTCTGCCATGTGATGTGGGAGGAGGTTGGAGATGGGGCACAGGTGAGTATAGAAAACCAGATGAGGAGCAAGGAAAGAATGGATTATGGGGGCAGGGTGGAGAAAAGGAGTTGCTTCAGGAAAATAAATTACTCTGCAATCCAGTCAGTATTATCACAGTACAGGGCACAGCATCAGTAAATATTTGCTGAATTCGATAGGGAGTTAAGGAGAGGGGGTTGCGTAGGTTACTTGTGGCTGGAGAAAGTGATGGAGTAGACCACCAAAGGACAGAGGGTATTGGAAATGAAACTAGTTCTTTCTTAGGGGTCAGGTTGAAATTGAATTACAGAGGGGTAGACATGACAAAATGCTTTACAGCAGCAAGGTAAGGGGCAGGCAGGACTGGGAGAGAGGCGGGTTTAGGAATCATCAGCAAAGGACTGAGTGTGCAGAAGGTGGAGAGGGCCTGAGTGTCTCAGTGGAAACCCCCAATTCCTCAGTGAGCACTGGGGGGAGATACATCACTGAAGGACAGAGATGGAGCCAGAGTGTAGGAGGCAACCCAGATGTGATGGTGAAAACTGAGAGGTCCAAGGAGACTGCCTAGGGCGGTGACTACAGCTGTGCTGGCTGTGGGTGGGACAGTCTTTGTGGGCACCTGTTTCAGTGGCGTGGAGCAGGTAGGGGAGTGGATGCCAGTCTCTGGGATGAAGTAGGGAAGGAAATGGGAGAAATGTCAGGTTCCGGGAACTGTCAAACGCCTCTCCTCTGTCACTTTCTGTGTGTCCGGGACAAAGACAGAATATCATTTGGCACGTGGCTTATCACCTTCCCCGTCAATCCACTTGACTCTTCCAGTCTTTTCTCCAGTCACCCTGGTTTCAGCACTGTCCTCGGTAGAGGCTAGGGAGGTTCTCCCCAGCATGCCCTCAACTCCTCTGCAACAAAATTCTCCTGAAACTAAGAGCTGATCTTGTTGCTTTTTGACCCCCAAAAGTAGCTTCCTATGGTTAGAGTAAATGCCAGATCCCGGGGCAGAGCCTGGGAAGCTCAGGTGCTCTCAGCCAGACTCAAGTCTTCGTGTTTGGTGAATGTGCCATGCGCTTTCAGGCACAGCTGCCATGGTGCTGTTCTCTGCCACGGCTGGACTGCTCTTCCTGATGAGCAGGGTGGTGGAGGAAAGGGTGGGCTCTCACCAGTCTCCTAAGTTCAAATTTCAACTGTCGTTTGCCAATTTTGGAACTTTGGGCAAGTTTCTCAACCTCTTTGAACTTTCATTACTCATCAGGAAAGTCTAGGTGGCAATAATTACATATCAGAACATCTTTGCAAAATAAGTGACGAGAAGTGATATAGTATGTATGAGAAGTGGGTGATACAATAGCACTTATGAGAACTGTGCACACCTGTAGGTGCATGGGAAAGCTGCTTTTCTGACTCATCCTGCCAGGCTCAGGCATCTAAGCTTCCTGTCCCCTAGGGTGGTATGACCAGTTCTCTTTGGAGTAGCTTTTTTGAGTTATAAAAAAACAACAAAATGTACCACGTTGAATGTGTAAGTGCACAGTGCAATGGTGCTAATTATATGCATTGTTGTGACACAGCCCTGAAACTTTTTATTATTGTAAATCTGAAACTTTATATTAAATAACTCTCCCTTCCCACTTCCGAGAATAGCATTTTTACCTTAGTCACAAATGCCTCACCTCCCATGGGCCAACTTGTGGCCTGCTGACATGTGTGAACCTTCTGCTGGGCTCTGGGCTCCTTCAAGACCAGAGCCTTGCTTCCTGTCCTCCTCACCACGCCTAATACCCTGCCTGGTGCAGTTTATGTTGGTGGAATTATGACATTTACATTTACTGCCTTACTTTGACTTAACTTTTGGGGGTGGGAGTGCTATGTGGTATGCTTTTTAAGCTCTACTAGAGCTTAAAACTTATGACAGCCTGATGGGAAGAACGCAAACTCTGACTTCAGAGATCTGGGTGCAAGGCTGGTGGTCCCGGGCATTGGTTATCTTAGCTCTAAAATGGGGAAGTTAATAGAGACCCCGGAAAGCTGCTGCTGGTGCTCAGTGTGACATGAACAGCACCCAGTGTGTGCGGCCTCCTGTGGGTTGGCGCGCCTCTCCTCTAAGCTGCATTTCACCTTACAACGTGCAGCAGAGACTCACACACTTGTTCTGGACTGGTGGCTGGCGGGAACAGTGGGGTGAAGGGTTGATTTCCGAGGATGGGGGGGAAGAGGGTTGAGTAGATTAACTGAGTCCGCTTTCCCCTTCCTATTGACCCCTGCAGGTTTATAACGAGTTCATTCTGCCCTCGGAGCGAGCTGGATTCCTGAGCCGGATTCGGGAGATTATACAGCGAGTGGAGACTCTGCTGAGGAGAGATACTGGTCCTGTGGAGACTGCCGATGATCCCCTGAGTCCCCAGGTTAGACCCCTCTGGGCACCTCTAAGGGAATGGACTCTACCCAGACCTCATTATTCTGCCAGTGCCAGACCCCTTCGTCTCTGGTACCCCAAACCTGTGGCTCTTACCCCATCTGAGAATCAGGTGAAAGTCATAGACCCTTGTTCTGGAAAACAGTATTCCATGCACACTTAGCTTTTCACTCATTATTTTGAAATGATTTCAGGCTTACAGAGAAGTTGCAAAGAACTGCTAAGTACCTTTTGCCCCAATTTGCCAATTGTTAGTGTTTTGCCACATTAGCACTATCGTTCTCTCTTCCTCTCTCCATGTATGAGGAAAAAATTTTTTTTCCCCAGAACCTCTTGACACTAAGTTACAGACATCATGCCCCTTTGCCTCTAAATATTTCAGCACATACACTTTTGAATCCCTTGAGACCATCTATGAACTCCTAGAAGTTCATGGGTCCCAGCTTAAGAACTCTAGGCTGAAGCCTTCCAAGATTCTGCTGCTCCACTGTGACGGAGGGCCCCTCTCTGTCCCTCAGGGGGAGCCAGCGCCCTTGCCTGTGACCCCCGGACCTCTCCCAGACCCCACCAATGGTACGTATCCAGTCCTGCTCCTGCTCAGCCCAGCCCAGCCCTTGGATTGCACCAGGAGGGACGGGCATTTCAACACACCTTCCCCCAGCAGAGCTCCAGAGCAGCACCTCCCTGGAGCAGAGTTGCTGGGCAGCCTTCGCTACCTCCCCATCTTCTCCAGGAACTCCCTTTCCCCCTGGAACCTCTGTGTTGCCCATCACTTCTCTCACATGTCATCCCAGCCCCTCCCCATTCTCCCCAATGTCTTCCCAGGACTCCTCAAACCTCTCTCCACCCTCTCCTGGCCCTCCACTTCTATTCTCCCCCTGTGCATCCCAGTTCCCAGCCTCTCAGTTTCCTCAGAGTTCTCTCCCCAGCTCTCCACTTGCGTTCTCTCCTAGCTGTTCCCAGGTCACCCCGACTCCTCCTCCTTTTGCTGCATGCCCCCCAGATTCTCCCCTCCCGTCCACCACAGCCACTCCTCTCCTCTCTCTGGCTAGTGCCTTCTCCCTGGCGGTGATGACCGTGGCCCAGTCCCTGCTGGACTCCTCCCCTGGGGTCCCTTCCCAGTCTCCTCTAGCCCCTCCAGGTCCCCTACCTAGCCTGCCCCCACCCCCTCCCCTTGCTCCTTGTGACCAGGAGAGGCTTTCACTCCTGACAACTGAGGTGGAGAGTGAGGTGAGTAGGAAACCACGAGGGACAATTAAGGGGGCTCCATTCTAGATCATTTCCCTCAAGGATGTACATTTTACAGGCCTCTCCCAATCCAGCTCGGCCACTGCTGGGTGAAGCTAGACTAGCACCCATCTCTGAAGGTGAGGCTTCTGACCACTACCTCCAGTCCTCTTTATATCTAGCCACTGATAAACCTTCCTCATCCCAATTCCTTGTCTCTCTGCAGAAGGAAAGCCCCAACTTGTTGGGCGTTTCCAAGTGACTTCATCCAAGGAACCAGCTGAGCCCCTGCAACCAACATCTTCAGTCCACTCTGGTTCTCTGAAGCCTCCTACTCCTCAGCTGACCTCAGAGAGCTCAGACACAGAAGACAGTGCTGGAAGTGGGCCAGAGGCCCGGGAAGCTCTGGCCGAGAGTGACCGTGCAGCCGAAGGCCTGGGGGCTAGAATTGAGGAGGAAGGGGACGATGGGAAGGAATCCAGATTGGGGGGCAGTCCCCCACCCCTGAGCCATCCCAGCCCAGTATGGATGAATTACTCGTACAGCAGCCTGTGTCTGAGCAGTGAGGAGTCAGAGAGCAGTGGGGAGGATGAGGAGTTCTGGGCTGAGCTGCAGAGTCTTCGGCAGAAGTAAGTCTGGGGAGGAGGGAGGACAAGAGGTTCAACTGGGGGTGCAAAGAACACGACCAGCCTCACGTGCTCATGTGTGTCCTCAGGCACTTGTCAGAGGTGGAGGCACTACAGACACTACAGAAAAAGGAAATTGAGGACTTGTACAGCCGGCTTGGGAAGCAGCCCCCACCGGGTATAGTGGCACCAGCGGCTATGCTGTCCAGCCGCCAGCGGCGCCTCTCCAAGGGCAGCTTCCCTACCTCCCGCCGAAACAGCCTGCAGCGCTCAGAGCCCCCAGGCCCTGGTGAGACTTCGGACACCAGCTTCCACCTTTCGTGCCCCCTCCCCACTGACCTGGCTTTCTTCCAGGCCCTGGCAGTCTACCCCTTGGCTTGGGGGGACTAGCCTCCCTCTCCCCACGGCCCCTCCCCTCATTCAGTGCTGCTCTCCTTCCCCATCCTGCACCAGGCATCATGCGAAGGAACTCCCTGAGTGGCAGCAGCACCGGCTCCCAGGAGCAGCGGGCAAGCAAGGGGGTGACATTCGCCGGGGATGTTGGCAGGATGGTGAGGGCGGGCCCAAGAGAGGGAGAGCCTGGGAATGGTAACTGGTTGCAGCTTCACCTTCCTGCCACTTTGGAAGTTTCTTCAGTGCCTTTTCCTTCCCCCCAGTGAATTCAGAACAGAAGCCATGTGTCTCTCCCACACCAAGAACCACCATGGAGCTTGTGCTCTCAGAAGCTGCTGACCAACAGAACTGCGCAAGGGAGGCCCCCGCACAGAGGGAGTAGAAGGCCAGAGGGGCATGGACAGTGCTGCTCTGCTGCAGAGGAGCCGAATGTGGGAACTATTTGCTGTGTGCAGAGGTGTTGGCCCTACAGCCTGCCACGCTCATCCTGTCACCTCCCCAGCTCAGGGTCAACCACTAAGCAGTCCCACCCAAGTCCAAGTGCTTCTAGAGGGTGCAGTCCCAGATGGGCAAACAGAGGGGGTGTTCTTACACCAGAATTAACAACCAATAAAAATGCTGGAAACCAGGGCTCTGGATCTGTATATGTGGTGCCTTAAGAACTGGGGGGAAAGCCAGTTCTGGGTGAGGCAGGGAAAGATTTAGAAGGAACTTTCCTCTCACAATGGGAAGCAGGGTAGAAGCCGCCCAGCCTTTTGGCTTCTTTCCAGCTAGCCATTCATGAAGAAACTGGCAAGTCAATGATCCACCTCACCAAGCTAAGATACCATCCAGACCTCATCTTTGACTTAAACAGGTAGGACCCAGTAGAAATTAAATAGAAGAAAGCTGTATGTCTCTTATCCTTCATCTACCTCTCTCGGAATGGAAAAAGGCAGACAAGTGAGTAAGGATGTATTGTTCTTGGGGATACAGGGCAGAGAGTGATTGACCTTCCCCAAAACATGACTTAGTCTCAAAGAGCCCAGTGACATTTCCCCACCCTAAAGCATGCGGAAAAATCTCAAAGAAAAAGTAATTCTAGTTAAACATTTATAGCAGCTCCTTCGGGCATGCCACTGCTTCATCTACTGCCTACAGATCTTTCCATCTTGAAGTGTCATGCCATCCCTCAGTCCCAACACACTTATTTGGCTCCAAGGGAGAAGACACAGTTTATTTTTTTAACCCACTTTAGGTTCTAACACTGCACAGAGCGGCCTCCCCTACATCCATAGCAGTCAAGACCCTGACAGGGGAAGGGGGTAAATCATAAAGTCAGAAGCTTGAGAAATGTCAAGATCACAGCTCTCAAACAAGGAAACAAACTATAATCTCAGTCCCTGCACACAGTGAGTGTGAAGTTGGCCTTGAAATGCATAAATCTCTGGCTTCCTGGGCTCAGTCATCGTCCAAGGTTAGTAAGAAGACCAGCAATGCTGTGAATAGGTTTCCAATTCTACAGGGTTATGGGGCATCACCCATCATGTCATGGGCTCCAGCAGGTTGGAAGTGTGCAGTGCTCAACTGGATCAGGGTCCTGATGCCCTTGCCAAGGCGCGGGCGCGGGCAGCTTTGGCTTCCTCTTCCAGGTCATCTAGGAAACGCTCCTGGGACACTGAGTAGAAGGTGTAACCATCTGGGAACGTGGGTTCAGGAAACCACTTGGAAAATGCACGTTAGCTTTTCCTAAACCCTCTACTACCCTACCATCATTCTCTCGAACCAAAGACTCCATCTTCTGCCCTCTGCTCTTCTGAACCCTGGCCTCCACCCTCCTCCCCTCCTCCGTTATTACTAATAATCACAATTAAAAAGCAACTTAAAATAACAAGGTACAATTAAACGCTTGACTCAGCCTTACAAGTGGTCAAAACTTTCACAGTTCAGGCTCTTTCCACCACCCCCACAATGCCCTCCCACGCGCCTCCGCTCCCTTTCCCCTACCCCTCGGTTCTACAGTCCGGTCGGATACAGATAGCTAACACCAGGGCTCCAATGCCCAGGCCGGTCACGATGTTTCGAGTCCGCCGCTGTGGTAGCGCTTTCTGCCACTGGGCGAGCTGTACCTGCCGCATGAACTGCAGTTGCGCAGGAGTCAGCTTCTCCCGAGTTGGATCAATGCGCTGAGCCAGAGGGGCCTTGCCACTCTTGGCTTCCTGGGGGTCACCAGCTCCGGGGGCCGCCATGTTGTTGCTCCGCCCTTCAGTCGGGTGGCGCGGGCTGATTGGGAATTGCAGTCCCAGGCCGCCGCAGGGGATGCTGGGAGTTGTAGTCCTTCCGCTAAACGTGCGGCTTCTGACTTTGGGGGAAGGGCGGGGGTGAGGAGGGTGGGAACCTGTTGTGCTTTCTGATTGGCGGAGGGGTCCGCGGCCGTTGGGGCGGGAAACACGACCTCTCATGCGAGAGAAAGCTCGAGGCCGGTGTGCAAATAGGAGTCTCCTCAGACTTGAGGAGAAGACAAACACCGAGGGGTCGGAAGACGCCAGGGTGTGGCGAAAGGCTCTGGAGAGAAGCTAAGTGGACCGATTTGTGGGTCCAGTGAGCTGTGTAGGGGGGAGTCCAAAAAGGCTTCTGAAAAATGGACAGAGCTGTGAGGCCCAGATATGCCTCCCTCAGTGACTTTCAGTTTGGAGCTGCTGCCACAGAGACCATTGAAGACGCGCTGCTGCACTTGGCCCAGCAGAATGAGCAAGCCGTACTGGAGGCCACGGGCCGGATGGGCAGCTTTAGGGAGACCCGGATTGTGGGTGTGGATGCAGGGCCCGGGAGCGGGGTGTATGGGTGGTTGGGGGGCCTGTGTGAGGGATCGATCTGGGGCTTGAGCTCACTTCATTCAAACAAGTTTCCCTGGAAGCTGCTATAAACCATGAGCTGTGAGGAAAAGGAAGCAGCAGCACCTTGCGCTGGGCCCCAGGCTGTTTGGATTTGTAGCGTGCGTGCTGCGAGGGCCAGGCCTGCTCTCGGGCCATTATATGCAGCCTTCACCGGGTGTGAGGGAAAATCCCAAGTGGCTTGGCACAAGTGTGGTTAGATAAGTGACAAGCCGCGTAACCTTTCCGGGGATCGCAAGGCATGAGGGAAGGATGCGGGATGGGAAGGATTAAAGGTGCCCGGGCATGGCGGCTTGCAAGCAGGTCTTGGGAAAGGCGCCGTTTTGCTGGACCGAGGCGGCGGAGCCTTTCTACCCAAAGGTGCCCTGGGAGTAACGCTCAGGGAGTGTGTGTACAGGGTAAGCCAGGTTGGAAAGGGCACTGGCAAGCCTAGCCGAAACTAAGACTGGGAAGTGCTGGAGACATTCCACGTGGACCTTTGATTCCAAGTTGGAATACTTGGCTTAGTGGGACAACAGGAAAGCACTGAAAGTTTTTAAATTTTAGTTTTGCTAGAAGAACTGGAGTCAAGGCCAGTGGATTCACCAGAGACAGAGTGGGCAGCAGAACAGGTAGATTGACTGAGATACACTGCCATGGGGGTCACCTCCCTGGCCGGGGGTCCAACTCAGGCTGCAGGGAGACCCCGTACTGGTTTTTAAGTATGGGAGTGATATGACTGTAACCTCTAACTTCGAAAAAAATTCTTTGATTGTGATGGAAAGGATGGATTGGAGCCGAGGGAGGTTGGGGTAGGTAGACCAGTAGATCCTGTGTCAGTTACTTGCGTGGTAGAGCAGAGGGAATGGCAAAGAAGGACGAATTAAAAACATCTCAGAGGTAAAATCCAGGGATCTGCAATGGGTAAATTTAGGAAGCGAGTAAGGAGAGATGATTATGCTAAAGGGTTGAAACTTTGATACCGGGGTTACACTGGTGTCATTAACAGAAAACAGACATTTAAAACAGGAGGAAATGTGACTGTTGGGGAAAGCTTGGTTTTGGATATAATTAGTGTCAGGTCCTGTAAAACAGGAGGAGGAAGGTTTCTAGCTGGCTGTTTTTGTTTTTTTTTTTTAAGCCAAAAAGAGGTCAAACCTAGAAATAAAGACCTAGTTATCTCTGTAATGATGCTGTTGAAACTGTGGCACTGGGTTCCTAGAGAGAGAAAAAAGAAGCAAGACAAGGATAGTTCCTTTGGAAACTGTGTTCAAGGAATTGGAGAAGAGTCATGAAGGAAATGAAAGCAGTGCTTGAGGGAAAACAAGAGACCTTTGGAAGCCAAGAGGAGAATTTCATGAAGGGTAAAACTCAGCAGTTGTGGATATTTCAGGCATAATAACAGTTGGAATGATTATTGCAAAGGAATCATGTTATTTAATAGTTTGGACATATTTACTGACCTTTGAGATAATCACTTCAGCAAGTTGGGAAAAGTGAAGTCAAATTGCAGAACATTAGGGAGAGAATGATAACATAAGAGCAGTCGATATAAACCAGGTTTTCAAGAAAGTAGAAATGGAGCCCTAGTAGGTGACTAGAAGGGGGTGGTCTTTTAGCTAATAACAGAGTTGAGTATGTAAGTGCAGGAGGTGGAGCCACAGCAAGGAAGAGGTGTAACCATCATTCATTACACCTAACCCAAGCTTAGTTTCTTGGAAAATTAAACTGGAAAACAGAAACAATTGTCCACATAATTCAGACTAAAATAAAAAAAACCCCAATTACACACCCACCCATCACCACCATCACTACTAACAACAACAAAGAAACCTTAAATTCTGGGCAATGAAAGTTCTGGTTAATAACACAATTATGGGTTGTAGGGTATTTTGCTTCATTAACTGCTTGAACTAGTTCTCCTCTGCACTGGACATTGCTAGCAGAACTTTGGTCTTTTTAACAGGAAGCTTTTGTGCAGCCTATCTATGTATACAATGCCTAGTAGACTGTCTTGTGCTAGTTTGGCTTTGATAGTCTTTTTTTCCCCCGTAAGAAAGTCTATTTTTTAAACAGATATGATGATTTGACTATATAATTCTTTGCTGATTAAGTGCTGCAAGTTCCTAGTTCTGCAGGTGCTTTCTTTGTTGAGAACTAACTTTTACCTTTGTTTCCACCCTTTCACAATATTGCAAACTAAATAGAATTCTATCTGGGGTTGTTCTTTAAAAGTGAAATAGAGGCAGCCTAAAGTCTTGCCAAGGTATTTTTCCTTCCCTTCTTCCTAATGACCTTTTTGTCCCAAAATTGTGCTAAGCTCCCTGATTTATGGGGCTGTTTCTTCCAAACAAGTTGCTCCAAGTGAGAAACTTGCTCCTGGTGAGAGGCTCAGCCACCACAGATTTACCCAACAATCTGGAGGTGGAGAAATGATATCCAGCTGTAAGGTGAATCGTGTTTGTAAAGCAGTGGGAGTCCTCCAGAGGGTGGTTACTAAACAAATAGTGTTATAAAGAATATTGAAGCTCCAGGAGGGACCTTTCTGTTCCTGTCAACATTCCACTGAAAACAGAATATAGGGGTTAGGGTTTTTATCCATCCAAGAACCTCTCTTGATGCTGGGGTCTCAGCATGGTGTAGAGGCCAGTTAGACCAGCTGGTGTGTTTTGTGTGTTGCTGGCCAAGCCTTTTATCAGCTGAGGCCCATGGGAGGACTCCAGGGTCACCGAGGGGGCTTGGTCAGCCCTTGTCTTTGGCACTCAGCCAGCCTCCTTTCCATGCCTCTGATCTGCCTGCTGGCAGCAAAGGGAACTGAGCTCAGCTTGAGTTGTTTCAGTCTCATCTTTCTCACCTCCTGACCCTCTTCCCTTGGCCCGCTGTGGCCTTTATACAACACCCAGAGTTCACAGAGTGGTTTTGGTTGCACCTTGTGAGTTAGGCTCTTCTTTCCTGTTTTGGCAGAGTTTATTTTTCTCCTGTCTGAACAATGGTGTCTGGAGAAATCCGTGAGCTACCAAGCTGTAGAAATCCTAGAAAGGTAAAGCCTGATCCTAAGGCCGTCAATCTTTTTAAAAAGCACCAGTTGCCCCATACCACCAGCCCTGGTTTTATACCTTGCACCCTCTTTTACTTACCAATGTTAACTTTCTTAGCCAGCTATTAGTATTGGAGATAAGACTGAAGCATAATTCGAAGCACAAACTTCTTTTCATTAAGACGAATGTGGCTTGCTTACTTTCCCCCCTTTTCTATAGTTTTATGGTTAAGCAGACAGAGAATATCTGCAGACAAGCCACAATCCAGCCAAGAGGTAAAGCAGAACTTCAGAATTGGAGAACCCTGAAAGAGAAGCTTCTGGACAAGTTTATCCTGCGTCTCGTGTCATGTGTTCAGCTGGCAAGCAAGCTTTCCTTTCACTACAAAGTAAGGAGCTAGGGTCACCCATGGGTACCTGTGTATTTGAAAGAGACTAGCTCATCCAAAGGTATCTTTAAGACACCTACTCCTAGGCTTATGTGGACATTCCAGAGGGCAATTATGGTTCCTAAGCCCACACAGTCCACACAGTCACACAGAGGCATTATCTAATAGGCTGAAGTTTTGTTCCCAAAGTATAGTTGCTGGACAGATGCCATTGTTCATTCATACAGGTCACCTTCCCTCCCTGTGGATTCAAGGACAGTTTACATAAGGTGCCTGATTTGCCAACATACCTACCCATACTAAAGGCAAACACATGTAAGGATAAACTGTTCCCACATCACTATGCAACGCCTACATAGTGAAGTAGCATCCGTTTATTACTCTGTCTCCTGTGGGCAGATGCTGCAATAGGTAACCTGGCTACAACAGCACAAATATCTGTGCTGTCAAGGAATTTGATTAGCTAATGGGAGACGGTACAGGCAAATGTGAGAAAGTGCCCCCATCAGTGTAAATACTGCAGGCTATGAGTATACCTCATAAGCCTCAGAGAATCAAGGAAGTGCATTTAGAGAAAATGACTTCTTGCAGGGAGAGGTGTTGAGAAGAGGATGAGGAGCTGAGGAAAGCTGGGAGAGAAGAGAGTGGAGAAAGGGAGATCTGCATACAGGAAATATCATGTTTCGCCACGTGGAGAACTTGGTGGGTTTGGGAACTCCGTGTAGTTCTACATGAGATAGTGTAGTGTAAGGAGAAGCTACCAAGAAATACAAGATGAAGGCATAAGTTGGGTAGTGGAGGGCTGTGTTCATATACTGTCAAGATGTATGGTCTTTATTCTGACCTCTTTGATTCTCTCCCATTCATGTTGTTTTGTTTTTCTTTGTGTAGATAATCAGCAACATTACCATACTGAATTTCCTCCAGGCTCTAGGGTATCTCCACACTAAAGAAGAACTTCTGGAGTCAGAGCTTGATGTCTTGAAGTCCCTGAACTTCCAAATCAATCTGCCTACTCCCTTGGCCTACGTGGAGATGCTCCTGGAAGTTTTAGGTACTTTATGAAGTGTGTCGGGGGATGGGCTGGAGTCTCCCATAGAATGCAGTAAGAATGTGCCCAGGGGGTTGGGGGCAGTGGGCAGCACCTGCCAATGAAGACCAGCAGGAAGCCTGGGCTGATTGAGGGAAGTGCTCCTTCAGGGAAAGCAGTTCAGATCTCAGCACCCAGCTTCTATTTGAACTCACTGGGTTCTCTCTTATTGGAGAGAGGTGATTGTATAAAGAGGCATGAGATAAGAGAAGAACAAATATACTCTCATTGTATATATATATAGTGGTTGGAGATTTCTCTCTACATTTGTCCTTTACAATTGACCTCTAGCTAAAGAAGTTTCTTACAGTGGGCCAGAGCAACCAGGAAGCACACTAGCAGTCCAACAGCTTTATGTCACCTGTGTCCTTTACCATGACCTTTACCACTGGATGTTCTTTACCATGACCCTTACCACCTGTGTTCTTTACCATGTCTTTACTCCATCCAGGATACAACGGCTGTTTGGTCCCAGCCACACGTTTGCATGCAACTTGTCTAACCCTGCTTGACCTAGTCTATCTTCTGCATGAACCCATCTATCAGAGTCTGCTGAGGGCTTCAATAGAGAACACCACACCCAGTCGGCTGCAAGGGTAAGGCAACTCCTTTGGGGTAGGTTTCTTTCAGAAACAGGTCAGAAACATACCACAAGGACTTGGGGAATGGTATTAACCTAGCGAGGCATCTAGTTCAGAGGTAACCTGCAGGGTTCTAATTTCAGTGCTACTTGGCTATAGATGACTGAGCCCAATCAGCAAAACCCTAAAGGCTTTTCACTTTAAATCTAAATGACTTTAAGTAATTAACATACTTTCTCTTCTAGCTCTTTTATTGCTGCTTATAATTTGAGATTACTGGACTGCTTTTATAGTCACTGAAGGAAAATAGCCAGTCACAAGATCGTAACTTGGACAAAAGCATTTGATTACAGTAAAGGCAGACTGGTAAAAAGCCTCGCAGTTATACTTGTCAAGGAGACAGCTGGAACAACAAAAGGCCTATAACCATTCAGACATGAAGCTCATGTTCTAATCCCAGTTGAGTTGGGGGAGATTGGGGAGGGGCTAACCAGCGATTGACCATTTCATTCCACGTCTAAAAAATTCAAGATGAGCAACATAAACAACTCACAGTTGAAGTTCCGTGACCCTAAGATTTCAAAGATCTAGTTTCAGTCTAGCTCCAAAATTAATATGGTTTTAATTACTCAGGGAAAAGTTTACTTCAGTGAAGGAAGACTTCATGCTGCTGGCAGTGGGAGTCATTGCAGCAAGTGCTTTCATCCAAAACCATGAGTGCTGGAGCCAGGTATGCACCACTGAGCAGGACCAGCAGTCAGAATTCATTGAGCAGACAGCATTCTCTGTCCGTTAAAAGGAAACAGAACACAACCTATAAAAGATAAGTGCCAAGTCCCAGGATTAGGATGAAACAGCAGCATTTGGTAGAGGAAAAAACTAGGATAGGACTGAAGTGTTCTCAGCATTGCCCTTGAAACTGCAAAAGCCCAACATCACCTTGTTTGTTTCCCTTTATAATTTGCTGTTATGTCAAAGTCCAGAAATTATATCCTCTTAAATAAGAGAAAATGTCAAAGGCCAAATGTCCCCCTCCTACATTCCACACAGCTTATCTCCAGCAGAGTTAAAGTTTGGCCAAAACCTTCCATGCTCAGTATCAGAGCAAAGGTATCCTAATGTGATTTGGCCACTGGCAAATACTGGGATCTGGATTTAATCTTCTCTGTAAGTTCACTGAAAGGAAAAGCTTACATTTGTCTTGAGCCTCTAGCCCAATTGATGTATCTGTTTGTGCACTAAAACACATTGAGATTATTTAGTAATAAGAAATCTGTCTTTTCTGAAGGTTGTGGGCGATTTGCAGAGCATCACTGGCATTGCCTTGGAGAGCATTGTGGATTTCTCTTACGCAATCCTGACTCACAGCTTGGGAGCCAACTCTCCAGGGCCACGGCAGCCTGTCCCTTCCCACCTGGGGGCCAGAACTCTCAGGGCTGCTTCCTCCAACACATGAGGCAGGCAGGCCCTCTCAGATAAAAATAACCATCCAGTCATTATACACACATTCCTTTGTTTACTTTCATACTCAAGAGTACAAAAGTTCCAAGCATCTTTAGAGCAGTATTTTGTATTCCTACTTCACGCTTATTTTCTCTTAAGAGTTAAGGTGGACAAACATGTCCTTTTTGTCATCCTGAAAATGTCAAAGGGTTCGGAGGAGATATAATACTGTGAAGTTGATTTTTGCATAAGGTATTTATAGCTTTAACTCTTAAGTTCACTGAGGAAGAACACAAATTTGGAGATTACTAGGGGCTCAAAAACTGAGATCATCTGGGTTGACCTTGACTGAACATCATGGAGGCAGGCTTTATTTCCCCTTAAACATTCCTGTTATTGGAATCTACACAAATAAGTTTTCCTCCACAGCAATTTATTTTCATTAGCCTTTTAAAAAAATGAAAACTAAGCCCATTTCTAAATGTATTCCATCAGGATTTCCACAGACCCACACTTGAACTCAATCCTCCCAGACAGAATACAAAGTACTCTAAAGAAAAACCCAACAGTATACCTCTGGGCAGTTATCAGACTGTAGCAAATCTTTTATTACAAATAATTAAATCTCTCCATAACATCTCAAAACAGCATCAAACACCATTTCATAACTCTAACAGATCAGCGTGAGCATTCAGTACTAGAACCGAGTGAGGAGAAGTGTTACATTTCAAGCTTTTGATCATACCACATGGTGACCACACAAAGCTTATAGGCCATTTCCTCACATTATCAGCTGGGCCTCACACATCTCCTCTCAGTAGAGACAAAAATTTTTATTTCATATTGTAAGTGCACGAAGTTGAGAGAGATAAAATCCAGTGAAAACAAATCAATCTCAGTTCAACTCAGTCTTTTTAAAAAAGCAAACTTAAATTAGTTATTTTGAGTGGGGAGAGGGAAAAGAAGGCATTGGATTAGGAGTCAAACTATGACAAAGGCCGGTGGCTAGACATGACATGTTGTTGTGTTGGAAGCTTTCCGTCATCTCATATTTTATAATAAAGTGGCTTTTGTGGATTTTGTTGTTGTTACTGTAAACATGTGTTGTACCCGAATTGAATTTAAAACAATTTTTTGCAAACAAAACTTAAAGCCTGTAAGGCAAAACGTCCCTTCTGTCCCAAGGAAAAAAAATCATTTGTTATAAAACTGTGAGGACACCCAAGCAAGACCCCACTTAAGATTTGTCAACATGAACTTGAGAGCTTTTGTCCACTGTTCCTCAGAGTTAAACTGTGTTTTGATGGAATAGGAGCCGCCACTGCCGCCTGTGTCTTCAATCTTGCCTTTCTCCACATCCATCCTGTAAATGGACACAGCAGAGCTCATTAGTAACTGAGATCTGAATTAAGTCAGCTCTGGCAAATGGGCAGGGCCTTGATCATGGGATCATTCACGTCATTTTATCCATTAAAGAACTCCTGGCGAGCAACGGTAGTGTATTTTGGATTTGCTTGAAAGCCAAAAATCAAGAAAGCTATCACAAGAGCCTCATTGTCACTGTAGAGTGCAGGGACAGGACATACACCCAAATAGCTTGGAACAGAGGGTAAGACAGTCACAGAGCTCCTCACTGTTTTCCTAGGCATCTCCGAGCTCATGGGGTGCAGGGAGGAAGAAGGAAAAAACGCTTTGTTTGGGGTTGATAGAAGCAAATCAGCCTTCCTCTCTTCAACTAAGGTTTCTACCCGTCACTGGGATTCTGCACAGTTTGACCACAGGAAGCATTCCTGTATATTTCCAAAGGCTTCAGGGAAAAACCTTCCTGAAACTGGAAAGCAGGCTTGAGCTCTGTGCCAAGAGAATGTCCAAATGACCTCGGACAACACTTTTTCTCTAGGGGCCAGGTGGTCACATTCTAGCCACCTAGCAGCACCGGATCAGTCTTTGCCTATCAGTGTCAGGTGACTCTGCACCACTTTCTGTTTTCCCATCATTTACTTTGTTTTTCCTCCACCCTTAATGCCCTACAGTTTTGCTCAATTTGGTCCTACTTCTACTGTAGGTTCATTGAGCTCTGTGGAATACTGACCTGTAAGGAAGACAAAAGCGTGTCTCGCCTTTTTCAACCTCTTCTTTGAACTGCTGCACACAGTCCAGGAAAGCCACCATTGCATGGTCAAACTTGTTGTCCCAGAAAAACCGCAACCCCCCGGAACAGTATAACGGCAGCTCCTGGCAGGAAGAGAGAATTGGCTGTGGGTGTGGCATCAACAGGTGGCCCAAGCCTGCGCCCCATCCTGCCGCTCTCCCAAGTCAGTCTGTCAACAGTAACGTGGGCAAATAACACATCTGGAACTGTTTTGCCATCGATAGGAATGTATTATACCGCAATGACCCCTTCCTCATCCCAGTACACACACCTCTCATCGGCCCACATCCTCCTCAACAAACTGTAAAAACCTAATGTTTTCTCTACAGGCTCCTAAGAACTAATCCTAAACTAGGCAAGACAGTGAACAAGAAATTGGTTCTTTGTGAATAGCTCAGTCTAAGAAAACTGTTTCATTAGCAGGGGTAAGAATTCTGCATCCCAGTGGAAACGGAGCTGCCAGAGTACCTTGGATTTGTCTGTCAGAGACTCCAGATACGAATGGTTTCCATAGGGAACAAGTCGATACCTAGAAAGGAGATGCAGACAGAGATGGACACAGGACTCCCTGTAAAGTGGTTACTGGGGTGTTATAATCCAATGATTTCGTTTCCACCCAACCAAAAGACTTATTATCCTCATCCCTCCCTTTCACCTCCCCAGAGGTTCCACGCTTAAATGATTTTGTTTACTGAACAAACTACATTTATTATACAGATGTTTGGGGGCCTTTTATGGGCAAATGGGTATTTTGCTTTAAATTTAAAAATAAAAGAACACTCAGATTTTAGAGATAGGAGGCGTGGCCATGTGATCAGTCTACTGCTCGGTCTACGAACCCTGCAGTGCAGGCAAAACCAGCAGCGGACAACAGTTGGGAGCAAGAACTCATGGCCAAGGGGAAAGCAGTAGCAGGCGGAAAATACAGATCACATCAAAGACACCCCTTACTCCCGCAGAAGGGCTGCAATTTTACCTCTGGAATTTCAGACCCATCTTATTGGCCAGAGCATGGAGCAGCAACACTGTCTGGCCCCAGGCAGCGTTAATCTCATTCCATTCCACAGGAACACTGGGCAGACGGCCCAGTCTGAAGTTATTGATTGTGCCAAATTGTCCGCTGTGCCTACAGAAGAAGGCAAGGGCAGAGAAAACACAGGAAGAACTGAAAACAAGCAACTCCTAAAACTTCCTGTTCTCACCCCAAACCGAGCTCTAGACTGATACACCGAAGATCTTCTTGGCTCTTCAAATGTATATCAAAAAGCTCCCTTGCCTGCTCCTCCATGGTCAAAGCAGAAATTCAGCTGTCATCCTTGAACATCTCATCCCTCTTACCCCCAGAAACGACTAAGTTCTGTTGATTCTATCTCCTAAAGCCCTTAAAACTGTCCACTTCTCTCCAAACTCAATGCCAGCACTGTTTTCCTATTTGGGTGCCTACTGACAAGCCTCCTTACCTACACACTGCCCTCCTCTCCCCAGCCATTCCCCACACTGCAGGTAAAGTCACTACTCACAAATGCAAATACAGTCAAGTCACTTTCCTGCCCCAAACGCTTTATCCAATTTCTTTTGGATCAAGTCCAACTCCCTTAGTGAGGCCGACAAGATCCTTCAGGAACTGATAACTCTCCAGTTTTATATCCCATCACTCTCCCCTTTACAATCTGAGTCACAATAAAGTCCTTTCAGAGCTCTGAACTCACCACTCCCACTTTCCCGTTTCTTTGCACATAATGTTCTCTGCCAGAAACAACCCCCTCCCTCTGCAGACTTCCACTTTCCGTCTCAGCTTAAACATCAACCCCTTCTGGGAAAACTTTCCATGCAGGCCTCCCAAGTTAGGTAAAGTGCCCTTATGTGTTCTCGCAGTGCCCGAGGTTTGTCCTTATCACACTGTGTTACTTATTTATCCATGCTGCCCACTAAATTATGCACAGAGGACAGAATGCACAACCTTTGCTATTGCACTTCTAGTGCTTAGCACAGTGCCTACCATAGTAGGTGCTCAAGATACTAGTTAAATGGACACAACTTTCAAATGAACTAATAACTGCATGACCCTGGAGAGAGTAGTCCACACGCGCGGACCAAGTCTTCACACAGCTGAGACTCAGATTCTTCCCTTTCCTTGGAGGAATAGATGTCATCAAACTCTAGAATCCCAGCACCCTGACTGTGTTTCTCCCATCATGAGGCATGAAAGATACCAGGATGGGGTGAAGGTGCCATGCAGTCCATTTTGTGGGAGATGGACCCCCTGCTATCTAGTGCTTCCCAGTTTCCAGCCTGCATTACCAGATGTGAAAGGTCGCATTAAAGACATTGGTTTTCTTCAATTTTTCCAGTTGAATCTGGGCATAACGCATCTGGTTTTCTACACTCTTCAGTTCATCATCCAGTTCCAGCTGTTGTCGTTTAAATTCACTGTACTCCCTTTGATACCTGTGAGCAGCAAAGGTGTCATTAAAAACTATCAGTTGGGGGCTAGATTTTCTTTCTCACCACTCTGGTTAATGATTTATTCCACTGATTAAGGTTACATCTAGTTATGGCACCCTTTATATTTAGTAAAGACCCCCCCACCCCCGACAGGAACATCATGCCCTAGCTGTTTTGTCTGGGAGGGACAAATGTCTCAAAACCGGCTGCTGATTAAGTGGAGAAAAACAGGGCTCTCTCAAAGCAGGAACCAACACCTCTAGGAAATACCTTTATATTTCTGATTTTTTTTTTTTTTAGATTTATTTATTTAGCATATAAGAGCTGGGGTACAGGCCAGAGATGCAGGGGATAAGAGGATTCACCAGAGACAGAGTGGGGATCAGAACAGGTAGATTGACTGACATACACTGCCGTGGGCAGGGTAACAGAGGTCTGCTGCTCTCCAGCAGGGGATTGAACTCATGCTGAAATGGCTGTGGATAGCTTCATAGTGCTGGGTCTTAATTCCTTCGGCCACCCGGGAGAGCTCTTTCTGGTCTTTTTTTTTTTTAACGCATACATACCAGAACTGGGATGTAGGCCAGTGGCGGGGGGTGGGGGGTCGAAGGAGGTTGTTTGAAAGAATTCACCAGACACAGAGTGGAAAGCAAAACAGGCAGACTGAGTGAAATACACTGTTGAGGGGAGCAGTGGGTGAGGCAGGAGAGGTCTGCTGCGCCGTGTAGGTCACCTCCCCGGCCGGGGATCGAACTCATGCTGCAGTGGCTGTGACAGATTGATTGCACTGAGACTTAGCCCCTGTGCCACCAGGGAGGCCCTCTGTTTCTGATCTTTTCCAGAAATAAAGCTAGTGAGTTATGAGAGGTTTCTTCCACAAACTGCCCATACCAAACCTCTATAACTTCATTGTCCTTTAATGAATAGCACACTTTCCATGGAGTGTGCTACACTACTCTATGAAAAAATTAATTTTCTCTGCTCCTTACTTCCCCAACTTTAGTTAGTATGGACAAGAGTCAATCACTCCTCTAGTAGACAAAAGGTTCTCTCAGGCTGAGCACCAATGTAATGTTTGAACTGGGAAAGAATGAATATAGGTCAGCAAGCTCATCTTCCCAGCAGAGGACACAAAGGTCAGCAGTTGACTTAGCCAAATATGCCCAGGTCCCTACAGGACAGAGTTGCCTCCGGGGCCCTGGTTTCTGCACTCTGCATTTAAACAATATACTTTCTGCACTTAATCCTGCTGCCCCTTCATATATTACCTTTCCAACCTCTAGAATCAGGGCTTAGAGACATTAAGCAGGATAGCAGACTATAGCTGATAAACTAATCTGACACATTCAGCTGCTGGAACCTTCAGACAGGAAGGTACAAAAATGGCAGGGGGGGCAGGGGTGACCACTCACTGGGCTTCTTCTTGGTCCAGTCTCTCAGCCTCAGCCTGGACCTTCTCGAGATTTTCTGCTACTATCTTACGGTTCTTTTCCACATCCTCTAGCTCTTGGATTAGCCTCTCCTCCTCCAACGCCAGCTCCTTTAGCTCCAGTTGTAGCTGTTCACTGTCATCCTCCTTCATTTGCTCTAACATCTCCAAACAGCGCCTGCCAGGCACACAGAGTGTAAACTTACCAGAGCGAAGTAGTATGTTTGCCTGAGTTGAGGACGCTCTGGGGGAAGGGCTAGTCTCAGAGAGGGAGCGATCTAAGACTCAGATCTGTTTCCAGGTCACGGCTCTGGAGGCACTCACTTGTAGTTCTGACACTCATTTTCAGTGACGTTGAGCTGAGTGTCCAGCTGGTCTAAAAGAGTATCTGTGCATTCCTCACACAGTGGGTGATCCACATCTGTCTGGCCTGACATGATGTCAAAAAGGTCCCCTGTGACCTGGAGGTGGGGGACAGTCAGGATTGGGCCTGATTACTACCAACTACTCGCCCTTCCCCAACCAGGCCCCTGTTGCAGGCCCACATTGGAATGAAAGTGACTTGCCTTCAATCTTCGGCTAAGGTTCTCCATGGTGCCGCCATCAGATGCCTCCCCAATCAGAGTGAAGCTGTTGGCACTTTCTGTAGACATCATCCTGCAGACAGCCCCCCGCCCATGGGCCACATGAGGGAGCAGAGAGGCCTCCTCCACCTACTGCAGTGCCAGTGGCAGAGACTCTCAAGCACCGGCTGAGGGGCCTCAAGTCACATACCCACTCCTAGCCCGACTGACCTCCCAAGGGCACCTCTCTCCCAGGGGAAGGCCATGCTGGTCTTCCACAGGGGCACTCAGCACGAAGGTTGGCCTGGATGGACTAAGGAGGGAGAGGGGCATCAAAAACTGATAGATGTGTATCCACAGTAAAAAGGAAGGAGTCAGGAAAGACTACTTTTTAACAATACACCTCTGGTCACTGTCACATGCGCCAGTACCAGAAACTTGAATATCTACCAATATTTGCTATTTTAAAACTTTTCGAATCTATCTCTTTTACTAGTCAATCACTCCCTTCACAGTTATTATCCCTATAATAGTTTTCATCCCTCAGAATGGCTATAAGAAAAACTCAATACTAGAAGGTGATGGGTCAGGTACAAGGGAATATATCTTTTGTGGAAATGTCAAAAGGCTAAGTGATGATTCAGTGCCATCACCCCGCTCCAGGTGTGGAGTTCTGGGTTCAATTAAGATTCTACTGGCCTTTGGCAAGGAACAGGGGGCTGAGTAGTAGGCACCTGGCTGGGGGGATGAATCTGCGAGAGACACCATCCTGGCGAGTTTCAATAAATGGCTCCTGGGAAGGAAATAAGAGGACATTAGAATTCTGGCCACTTAGGAGTGGAGTATATTTCCTAAACAGCCTCGGAAGTACTTGGCTTTCTCCTTGATTGAAAAAACAAATCTTGACAAAACAGAGAATTGAGAAATGGGCATTATTTAGCCAATCTTTGGATATGCAAACAGCCTCAAATCCCATTTGTTTTTTTTTGTGGACAACAGCATTTTCTGACTATGTTATACTCTATATAGGCAAAGTTGCATTTTCTCAACACTTAACCACTGATTAGGGGAGAGAATGCCATAAATCACGGCAGAGAAAAACTTAGATCACACTGCAATGAAGTTTGCCATAGCACAGAACAAAGCAGACTATTTTTATGTCTTTAATATTTAATTTATAATGGAGCAAAATCTTACGGTATCTAACATTGGCAATGAAAATCATCACTGAAGTAGATCAACAGAAGGTTTAAAAATGACAAGTTCTCTAACACTGGCAGTCCTTTTTGCCTAGGGAATCATACAATTCACCATCCACACCAAGATACTTTTGAGAATAAATAAAAGTAGATATTAACAATTGACTATGGCAAGAGATATAAACCCAGATGGCCGTGGGGGGTCAACCTGGACATCAAGGTCCTCCCATGTCCCATCTGTAACAGCTTATAATTCCTCTTCAAATAAAGAGCCTCTTCCCACATTTCTTAATGGATGGCACATGTGTAGCACCACAACCTGACGTGTATTCTGTCCCTCCAATTATCCACATTGGCCTTGTTATATATTATCTGTCATGAACCACAGATTCCAAAAGTAAGAGTGAGCCCCAGGAGCAACGAGTATTCTGACAAAATCCAGTGTGCATTCCAGTATTTTCATACCTCTCCTGAGTTAGCCTCTTCCTCCTGGGTCTCTCCTGGTTTCACTTGGGCTGTGGCAAGTAGTGGAGCTAAGGACAAGGAAAATATTGAGTCAGACAGTCCTACCAAAGACAGAGGGCATATGAAAATATATAAAAAGAGTAACAAATATCATCACCAGTACTTTTAATACATAGAAGAATCTCATCTTCTTTCCATTACCCCTCCCCCTCCCATTAATTCAGATTAAGGATTTTTTTTTCTGGTATAATGGCATCATGATGTTTCCCAAAAAAATCAAAAAATATCTTTCAAAAACATTACAATATATGCCATAACTATGTTTGGGATTTGCTTCAAAATAATTCTGAGTGGAAGAGGAACAGATGGAGCTATAAATGAAGTATTATTCAACAATGCATTGATGATTGTTGAATCTAGATAATGGGTATGTGAGGATACGTTACATACTTTATAACATCCCCTGTCCCCGAAATAATTGGGAAGGAACACAAGGGATATTTCTTGAAAGATGAAAACTTTCTAAATGACACTGATCTAAGTGACATGATGTATCCATTCATCAAAAATGTGTAACTAAGATTTGTGTATTTTCGATGCATGGCAATTTACCTTTAAAAAAAAAAGGTGGCACAAGGGATTAAGTCTCAGCACTATCAAGTGATCAGCAGCCAATGAAGCACTTCCCTGCCAGGAAGTGACCCAAATAGTGGAGCAGACTTGTCGTGTCTCACTCACTGCTCCCCTCCCCAGTATGTTTCAGTAGATCTGCCTGTCTTTCTCCCTACTCTGTCTCTGGCGAATCATCTCACCTCTCCGAATCTCTGACCCCATATCTCTGGTGATGATATTTGTTACTCTTTTTATATATTTTCATATGCCCTCTGTCTTTGATAGGACTGTCTGACTCGTAGGCACAAATAAATAAATCTTTAAAAAAATTTTAAATAATAAAATTAAAGAGTAATAAACAAAATAATTAAATGGGGATAGGCAGTGAGCAACAATATAGACAACACAAGAATAGCAGAATGTGGCTAATGTTGAAGCTGGGTGACAGATAAAAGGGGAATTCATTATCCTCTTGACTGTATGAAATTTTCCATAAGAAAACATGTAAATATATAAAAAAGTTATTATTTCCTTAAAAAAGAGAAATAAGGTAGTAATTGCTAATGTTTATTATTATTTGCCTAGTATATTCCTACATATATCTGTCATATTTGCACATTACAACTACTTTGAGGTCTTTGTACACTTTACAGATAAAGAAACCACAGTTTGTCCAAGGCTTAGAGAAAGGTGAAGTAACTTGCAATAAGCCATTCAGCTGGTAAATGGCAACCAGGATTTAAATCCAAGCAAGCTGACTCCAAAACCATGAGTTCCTTTAAACTGTTTTCTCTTTGTTCTCTAGCTTTCTCCTTTCTTTAAACTCTTAAGACTCTGTTCCTCCACTTACCAGCTGCTGGCTATTAGATAAGTTCCTTAACCTCCCTGTGCTTTAATCCCTCATCTGTTCAGTGATGATAATGATGGCACTACTCCATAGGTGTAGGTGGAAGAAATGAAGTGTGTAATGCACCTGGTATATGACAAGTCCTCAATAAATAGCATTTATTACCGCATACCATTATATATACATATTCCATTACTCTGAAACAACAGAAGCAGAAATTTAATGACCTTTCTTTGCAATAGGAAACTCTCAGGAAAGTGTAAGAACTCTAAAACAGAAAGCCAGAGAGATGTGACTTGCCCTACGTTCACACGGTGAGTCTTGACCGACTACACAAACACCTTGAGAACTTGATCGCTAAAGCTGCCCACTTTCCAAGCTCCTGACCACCCTCTTTCCAAGGGTCTCGCTGACCTGTAAGCTCCTGGATGGTGACACGGTCCAGGATCTTGAAGCTCGTGTCCAGTTTCAGGGGCTGGCTGCAGCGCTGGCACACGAAGCTCACCTGCATGGTGCTGCTGGATGTCTTAGAGCCCTCCATCCCTGCGGCGTGAAGAGGCGCTATCAGGGAGAATCAGCGTCCTTGAAGCCCAGGCCCAGGACTACCACCTGCCTTTGCTAATGTGATAGGAGGTAAATCCCCACCCGCGCCGATCCCTCTAGGAGTCGTCCGATACCAGGTGAACCCGCTTCCGGGGCAGCCCCGGGAAAAGCAGTTAACAGCCCAGAGTCAGGGAGGGGCTGCTACAGGGGCAGTGAAGGTTCCCTGGGCCCCTTCTAAGGTCCACGTTCAGCACCCCCAGTGCTCTTCACCTCGGGACCCGGGTCCCGCCACCCTGTTGTAATCTATCGTGGGGGAACCGTGGCCGCGGGCCGGACCCGGACCCAGGCCTCCAGAATTGCCATCGCCCAGTTTTCAGCTACTTCCCGGTCCGCCAGAGGAGACTTCCGCCCCGACCGGATGTGACGCCACGGCGGCTGCCTCCGCTCCGGCGGGCGGTTCTGGGCGACCCGCGCACGGTCCCGCCTGCGCCCCCTGGAGGCTGACTTGGGAAACGCGCCGGGTTCCGCGGAGGGTCTAAGCCTCGGGAAGGGGGCGGGCCCAGTCGAGAGCGAACGTGACCCGGTGCAGCTTTAATTCAAGACTTCTCCCGATTTGCCACTTCTGAGCGGCACTTTAATTCTTCCGCTTTTTCAGTTTTTTAAAAGTTTCTGCTTAAGAGAGCTGAGTTTTCTTTCAGACACACTGAGCATGGTAGACGTCCTTGGGGAAGGTTAAGGGGGTAAAATGCATTATGTTTTGTGTTTGAATTTTCAATTATTAAGGGAAGTAGAATATACTCCAACACTGAAATGTGTTATGGTTATAAAACTAAACCATTTGTGTCTTGCTGCAGGAATAACTCAGTGAAAGTTATGTTTTTTTAAAATAACTTTTTAAAAAGTTTAAAAGTAACCTTTTTTTTTTTTTAAAGGAAACCCAATATACAAGGGGATTTATGTAGTAAAACTAGTATTACAAATCAGTGGGGAAATTAGGTACTTAATGAGCCATGCGTGGGGCCCAAAGACATGTAGATATGGTGAGATGAACCGTTTGCTTCAGTCTTGATACCAAAAGAAGTTCCAAGTTGGTCACAAATTTAAGCATCTAAAATACAGTAATTAAAGTTACCAAGTGAAAACATGAATGAATATTTTTTATAAACTCGGAGAAGGTCTAAGCATGGCCTTTCATTCTTTTTTTTGTAAAGGAAAATACTGAATTTCACTTTTTTAAAAAAACCGTTGTTTTTTTTTAAGATTTATTTATTTATGCATACAGAACTGGGGTACAGGTCAGAGGCGCAGGGGCAATGAGAGGATTCACCAGAGACACAGTGGGGGGCAGAACAGGCTGAGAGAGGAAATACACTACTGCAGGGAGCAGCGGGTGAGACAAGAAAGGTCTGCGAGGCCTGAGCGGTGGGCTGCGCCATATGGATCACTTCCGGGGTGGGGGATCGAACTTGCACTGAAGTGACCCGGCCAGCTTCTCAGTGCTGCGCTTTCACTTCTTGGAAAGTATGACATTCTGAACTATAAAAGACGTTGTAAATTTTTTTTACATAGGAAAATAGTTGTAAATAATAAGCGATTTCTTCCATATACAAAAATCTATTCAATCAATAAAAATACCAATAAACCGGGCCCTCCCTAGTGGCACAAAGGGTTAAAGCACAGCACTGTGGAGCTAGCGGCAGCCAGGACATTCTGAGTTGTATCCCAGGCCAGGGAGTGACCCACATGGCACACAGACCTTTCCGTCTGGCCGCTGCTCCCCTCGGCAGTCTATTACAGTCATTCTGCCTGTTCTGCTCCCCATTCTGTCATCTTTCTGTCCCTGCACATCTGGCCTGTACCCCAGTTCTGTATGCATAAATAAATCTTGTTTTTTTTTTTTTAAAGAAATAATGTAACAATACAGGAAATCAGGGCTCTCCCTGGTGGCACAAAGGGTTAAAGCACCGCATTATATAGCTCTCAGAAGTCACTGCAGCAGGAGTTCAACTCCAGGCCAGGGAGCTGACCCACATGCCATGGCAGACCTTTGCTGCTCCCCTTAGCAATGTACTTCGTCATTCAGCCTGTTCTGCTTCCCACTGCCTCTGGTGAATCCTTTCACCACCCATGTACCCTTGGTACAGAGGTGCAGGGGAGATTCACAGGAGACAAGGCAGAGAGCAGAACAAGCAGATCACCTGAAATCCACTGCTGAAGGGAGTAGTGGACAAAACAGGAGAGGTCCCTCCCTGGCCGGGGATTGAACACAGCTACAGTAACTGCGGACAGCTTGATAGTGCTGTGACTTAAGACCTTGTGCCACCAGGGAGGCCCAGCTACAGTTTTCTGAGTCATAAATCACACAGCTGCATTATAGTACATCCATGTAATTACATTACACTCATACATACTACAGTGAAGAGCTGTTTCCCTATGATAGAGCCTCAAAATTGTGATTACAGAATTTCATGTACCTCGATTAACATTAGCAATAGTTTTTTTACAGAGTGGCTGCACATGATTATTTCTGTCTTTAGTACTGCATGAGCCAGCCTGTTTCACAATGTGTGCCCAGTATTAAGTATGACATTATTTGAGGAACAAGGGCAAAAAAAAGTAACACTCCCTTATTATTTTCATTGGTACCATTGGTTACCAGTATATATTGGTGTGTTGTCGGTCCTCTTCAATTTTCTGTGTCTGTTGCCCATTTGTCTATTAAACTCATGATATTTTTCTAAATATTTTTCATCAGTTTTCATGAATGGTCTATTTAATTAAATAGATGTGCAAAGGAGTTTTAATAATTTTTCTAGATGTGCAGAATTTTAAATTAGTCTTTTTTCCCTCTTGGTGAATTACATTGCTTGGAAAGTTGTTCCAATTAACTTAGAATTAACTTTGTGATCTCTATATGTGATCCCAATATAATTGGTATTAGATATAATATATAGAACTAGATTGATTTTCTCCCCATATAGCTAAATAGATTTTACATCTCTGCTTCCTCTGGACTCTTTCAGCATGAGACCCCCGTTAGAGGGAAATGAGTAAAATTATCCCTGAAGAATTCTCACCTAGGCCTGGTTGGCTGCTTCATGGTAGTCCAACTACATTTCTTCCTGCTTAGTTACCTCTAATACCTTCCAAGACTGGCATAGATACTTCTACGGTGGTTGGCTTGTCAAGATTTTAAGTGAGAGTAGTCTAGTTTATCTGGGTTTAAAACCTCTCTCTGTCAGCAAGGGAGATGGAGCAATCATTACTGACGTTGGAAGAAAACTTGAAGACCAGGTTGCCACATGTGTTTTAAGGGAGAGAATGAGTTAACTGAGTTCAGTAGGAGGAACAGAAGTGCTCTCCACGTGGAAGCAGCATGAAGACCAGCAGTGTGATCTGTCAGTGCAGATGTCATTCATAAGCTTACAAGAATAGTGTGAATGTGGGATGTGCTGGAAAGCCTGACTGGAGTAAATGGAAGATGAGGGATTAAGAGACAATATCATTCAATAAATAGAGTGATAGCTAGAGAGGACTCTGGGTGCAAGGGAGGATTTTCCTCAAGATGGAAGCTACCTGGTTGTATTTGGAAATAATCTAATAGAGGGAGTAATGTAATGTGAAAAAGAATTGATAATCACTTGAGTATAGTTATTGAGAAAGTAAACGAGGAAGGAATAGAATGCACATAAGAACGTTAATTTTGGGTGGGAACAGGGATGTTGCCTTTAACAAAAAGAGCAAAGGCAGAAAATATTTGTAGTTTGGCAGCTTTGGTGGTGAGATGATGAGGAAATTCTCTTTTGCTTCTGCTTTTTTAAAAAGATATGAGTTTATTTATTTATGTATACAAGAACTGGGGTACAGGCCAGAGGTGTAGGGATGAGAGGTTTCACCAGACAGTGGGGAGAATAGGCAGATCTACCAAATACACTGTTCAGGGGAGCAGCAAGCAAGACAGGAGAGTTCTGCTGTGCCATGTGGGTCACCTCCCTGGCTGGGGATCGAACTCATGCTATGGTGGTAGGAAATTGCTTGATTTCCTACCCTGCTTTTGCTTTTTCAATGAAGGATGAGTTAAGGCCCCTGCTTTTGCTTTTTCAATGAAGGATGAGTTAAGACCATAAATTGAAGGTGGGAAGGGAGGGACAATGGAGATTTAGGGGCATGAGGAGGTATGACAACCACTTGCAGTACAGAGGAGTAAGCTGTCGGGAGCATGGAATAGGCTTTCATGCAGTGATATGCACCCATCGTCATTTATGTATGATCACATGTGATTCATAAGCAACCAGAAATGAAGTTTGTTAAAAATAGTGGTAACTGGGCCCTCCCTGGTGGCACAGTGGGTTAAAGCACAGCACTAAGAAGCTTAAGGCCACTTCTGCATGAGTTCGATCCCCGCCTGCCCCGGAGGAGATCCACATGGCGAGGCAGACCTCTCCTGACCCGCCCACTGTTCCCCTCAGCAGTGTACTTTGTCGATCTGCCTGTTCTGCTCCCCTCTCTGTCTCTGGTGAATCCTCTCACCCTCTGCATCTCTGGCCTGTATCCCGGTTCTGTATAAATAAATAAATAAATCTTAAAAAAAAAATAGTGGTAACCTCAGCAACTGTTCACTAAGCAAATGAGTATTATATAAAATATTTGGGAGAAAGAATGTCTGTGTATCTGTCTTCTTAACAAACTGCTTGCAGAAGACAAAACCATTATTTAAAAAAAAAGCCATAGTTTATAAGCACAAATATACTGTTTTCAGGTCAAAGCTATTAATTGTGAAATAGAGTAATCATATACTAAAAATAGGATGAAGTTAACTTGGGAAAGCATTCCTCAATTTCCAGATCAGAGATAAAAAATTAATAGGTCATGCGTTACCAGAAAGCTGAGGTAGAAGGGGGAAAATTGTTAGATGTTAATAAGCAAGATGGGTAGTATGGCTATGTTACATAAAGCCTTGAATAAGTGGAAAAGGACTTTGGGTTTTGAAAACAGGGATGATGATAATTACTATAATTTAAGGAGTAATTTCTCCATACTAAGCAGTAACAAGTTGCTTATCTGACCATGGCTATTATTTATCTAGTGCCTGCTTTGTGGCTAGGCACACTGTGCTAGGTATTTTACATACATGTGATTTCCTATATTCACAACCTAGTTATTTTACATGAATGCTAATATTCAAAACTATCCAATAACATTTTGATAATTATTAAAATCCCATTTATAGGTGAGGGAATTGAGATGGGGATTTCAGTCTCTTGCCCAAGATCTCACAGTCAGTAAGGGGCTGAGGTAGAATTTGAAGCCAGGTCTGATTTCAAAGACTATGGTTAATCTTTACTTAATTCCCAATTACCTTGCACTTAGTACAGAGGCCTGGCTAGATCAGCAAAAGTGACCCCCAAAAGATAAACCTGGTAAACCCCAAAGCCTGCCTTTGACTTAATACAAATTGTTTCCTAAGAATCTTCTCACTCCCTCCCACCCCTGCTGGGAGCTCACTACTAGTCTTTCAGTATGAACAGGACTATCTTCCCCCAGTGCATTTGCCTGCACACATTGGGGGTTCCTCCCTCCCCTCTTCCCAAGACATCCCTTCAGCATCCTGTGTTTGTCTCCACTACATCTGGGCAGCCTCTCTTGACTATTCAATTTACAAAGGATCCCAGGTACTCCCCAAGTTGGTCATTTGCTTCCTAATTACTTACTGAATTTCCAATGATCAGTTACTTCCTGGTGTCTTTTCCACAGTATTAAATCCCATGAGACCGAAGCACGTTTATCTTTAATTTCCCACAACTGTGCTGTTCAGTATAGGAGTCTGGCGACACGTGGCTGTTGAGTACTGCAAAGATGGTACCTCTGAATGGAGATGTGTGTAAATGTAAAATTCATACGGAATTTCAAAACTTGGTATAAGGGAAAATGTATCATCTCTCACGGGATAAGCTGGGTCAAACATAGGGATTAAAACTAATGTTTTATTTTTCAATGTGGCTATGAGATATTCATTCACCTAATTGACTTGTTTCTAGGTTCTGGGGGCAGTTGCTTAGTCTAGCAATGTCCAGGCCCACTTTACTGGACAGAATAATCAATGTTAAAGGGGTTGACCAACTGAAAGTGAGTAGGTCTCTGCCTTTCATTGGGAAAATGGGCACAGCATGTCCCTAGAAGCCAGGTATTGTGGATGCTGGTCCAGGATTTACTGCAAACACTATGTAGCCCTAGGCTGGCCCAACCCCACGCTGTGGCGCCAATCTGCCCACCAGGCAGTTGATCTCAGAGGTGTGGAAGTGCAAAAGATATAACGGTAGAGGACGGTCGGGGAGCCTGCTACAACACAACTTGCTTTTTTGTTCGATTATAGCCCAACACTAGAGTTCGCGCAAATGGGAGGCGGCAGCAGGAATCGCAGACTAGGACCCCATCCCCCACTCCACTCCCGAACACTTCGCAGGGACCGCCGGCTTCCTCGGGCCGACGTCACTGGGGCGCGACGGCGTCGTCGGTCCAGTCCCCGAGGCGGCAGCGGTTCCGAAGCTTCATTCGATGAAGGCGAGTGCCGGGCTCACAAGTCACACGGGAACCCCGAGTTCCCTTGAGGTTCAGTTCTCAGTAAACCTGTCTCCGTCGCCGTTCCTCTTTGCCCTAGCCGGGAGTAGGAGCTTGGCATCTAGGAGCCAGCCACTAGCTCCACAGCGCGGCTGCGCAGTGCACGTGCGCATCCTCCCTGGAGCCTCGGCGACTGGCTGTGACGCAACTTCCGGCGTGAGCGGCGAAAGCCGGGAGGACGAGCAAGATAGCGAGCAGGCAGCAGGCAGCAGGCGGGCGGGCCGACCGCACGGAGGGAGGGTGCGAACGACCAGTGAGTGAGCCAGCGAGATCAGCCGCGTCCCGAAAGCAGTCGAGATTCCTCCCGTCCCTCTGACCCCCTCCCCGGAGCCCACAGCGCCTCCGGTCTCCAGCGGAGCGGACACGGCCCGACCCGGCCATGGCCTCGTTGCTGAAGGTGGATCAGGAAGTGAAGCTCAAGGTAGCGGCACCGGTCCGGGTTTCCTTACCCCTCACTTTGCTCCCCGAGCAGTCTGACCGGCTCCCCCCACCCGGTGGCGTCTTTGTCTCCCTGGGGACACCAGCTCTGAGCTTCCGCTCGGCTCAGCCCAGCCCCCCACTCTTCGGAGACTGCATCGGAGGAGAGGATAACGTAGGGTGGCCTTCTGAACCCCGTCCGGCTGTAGGATCGGGGGAGATTTCCGCGAACACGTGTTGGACTCAGTGCTTTAGATCAGTGACAGCTGGAATGCCCCCAGCCCAGCAGTGCCTCCGCCTCCCGTCTCTGCTGCTACCCTTGCCATAGGCCTTTATCATGGGGGCTGGCACGTTTGTGAGCTCATACCGCACTATCTACCTGTCGTTAGTCTGCTCTTAAATTCAGACAGCCTCAGAGACGGGAGGGACGGTGGTAGGGGAGGGAAGGAAATAAGAAAGAAGGAAAGACCAGCAGGTGCTGCTCCTAAGCCCTGCTTCCCTCTCCTGAGATGGAGAAATGGATCCTCAAAAAAGTAAAATATCTGCAGTCTGGGGGCCTCTCAGCTTCTCATTATCATTATAAGGTGAGGGAAAGACAGCTGGACTTGAGTTTTCCCATCCTTCTCTTTACCTCTGTTGCCGAGCACTGAATTGTTTTCTTTGTTAATTTCAGGTTGATTCTTTCAGGGAGCGGATCACAAGTGAGGTGAGTAAAATAAATAAGAAAATGTGTATTGTTAGCATTTGGGAGTTTCCCAAAGAAGAGTTATCTGAGGCCTTCCCATATTTATTAATCCAGCTGCATTTCTCTGCATCTTAGGCAGAAGACTTGGTGGCGAATTTTTTCCCAAAGAAGTTGTTAGAACTTGATAGTTTTTTGAAGGTAAGAGACTCTTTTCTTTCCTCAGACTTGCCAATATTTTTGACCCTGGTCTTTCTGCTGGGATAAATTATGTGTAGATTTTGCTTTTTACTGTAAAGCATTCTTGTTCTTTCCTCTTCAAGTGGAATACTTTTTTGGTCATCTTGAAAAGACTAACATTGTTGGGGGTGGGCATCTCTCTTTCAGGAACCAATTCTAAACATCCATGACTTAACTCAGATCCACTCAGATATGAATCTCCCGGTCCCAGACCCCATTCTTCTCACCAATAGCCATGATGGACTGGATGGTGTAAGTTCTATATTTATTTTTGTGTGGTGCTCAAGAAGCAATAGGTCTTTATCCTCTTGTTTCTTAGTCAATTTGAACATGTACAGAGGTGAACAGTGGTATTTGGATTGGGATCAAGGACTTTTATGGCATGATGACTCCAGTAAGTCTCGTGAAGGGGGCTGATTTTCAAATTCAGCATGAGGTGGCAATGAGGTAACACACCTATTCTGTGTTAGGAGGTGTTTCAAATAGGACTACAGCTACAGGCTCTCTCTGGTTATCTGTTCCATTCTCCAGGAACCAAACAAGACTTCTCTTCCCGTTTTCAGTGTTTTTTAAAAGTCCAGTTATAGGGTGAATAGTTCTGGCTTATTTAACTGCACTCTCTGTCTTTGCTGTTTACCTTTAACTCCTAGTCCTTATCAAGTTATTTGTCCATATTTTAACACATGACACTGTCAGTCTTTGCATTACTGTCTCATTGGTAGTTTCTGCCTTCCAGAAGTGTAAGTTACGTCTTAATCATCCTTGTAGCCCTAGCACCTACCATAGTTCCTGTTACATGGCAGGTGCAGAGTACATGTTTGTTGACTGAGTATTGTGTTTTCTGTGAAAGAAGATTTGTATATATTCCCTTGATTATCTTCACCCTGCACTGAGTGATTCATTTTTCCTATTTATAGTATCCTTCCCCTCCTCCACCCCCCAATTGTTTAACATGTTCTATTTCTGTAAAGGTTGGTCTTTCTTTCTAGAATGTAAGTTGCTTTATGGCCAAAACCTTTTCTTAAAATCTCCTGTGTGCTTAGTATGTGCATAGATTAATAAGACAGCTTATACGGTCAAGGAAGGGATGAAACTTAGTTGAAGGGTATCTTGTGATGAGGATGTGGTGTCAGAACAGGCTAATTTCCTGTTTCTTTGTCTTCTTAGCCTACTTACAAGAAACGAAGGTTGGATGAGTGTGAAGAAGCCTTCCAAGGTAAGAGCCACCACCCCCACTCTACACAGTCCTCCTCCTGAATTGCAGCCCTAAGTTGCAGAATGGATTTGGTAGTCTAGCCAGGAAGCAGAATCTGACTTTTCACAAAGTTAGTGTCCCCAAGACCTCCAAACATGGTCATTATTTAGCACTGTAGACCTAATTTTCCAATAAGCAGGGAGGATTTGACTTCAAAGGGAAGTAGAGGTATCACTTTACAGATTTTTTCAAAAGGTTTATTTATTTGTTTGTTTCTTTATTTATGCATATAAGACCTGGGGTACAGGCCAGAGGTGTGGGCGCCGAGAGGATTCGCCAGAAACAGAGTAGGGAGCCGAACAGGTAGGTTGAAAATACATTGCTGAGGGGTGCAGCAGGCAAGATAAGAGAGGTCTGCTGTGCTTTCACAAACCCTTGTGCCACCAGTGAGGCCCCATCACAGATTCTTCACAGAAATTCCAGTTCCATGTTTTTTTTTCCTTTTCAGTAATAGTCGTTGGTATATTAAGTCTTTAGAGTACATTTTAATCTTCCTGTTCTGGATACTTTAGATACTCTTGCTAACCCACATATTCTCTTTTTGAATCTGATGCTAGTGTCCTGGTTTATAGATAGGACTGTGACTGCTAAAAGACAGAAGGTCAAAGAAGAGGGAAAGAGGAGGGATATTAGGGAATCCTCTGTCATAACCTCACCCTACTCATTTGACTTTTACACCCCTGTCCAGGAACCAAGGTGTTTGTGATGCCCAATGGGATGCTGAAAAGCAACCAGCAGCTCGTGGATATTATTGAGAAAGTGAAACCTGAGATCCGGCTGCTGATTGAGAAATGCAACACGGTGAGACAAGCTAATGACTGTTGACCCCAGGTCTGGATTGTACAATGAAAAATGATAAATGTGGGGTTGGGGGAATGGAAGTGGTGGGGTGACAGTCTAAGCACCCTGACTCCTTTGCTCCTAGCATCTGCCCCAGTGGCATGGCTTTAGCAGAAGACATCAAGACCCTTGCTCACTTATATTTGGTGCCTCTGCCCTCCAGGTCAAAATGTGGGTACAGCTCCTGATTCCTAGGATAGAAGATGGGAACAACTTTGGAGTGTCCATCCAGGTAATGTGCTTGATTAAAAACTAGAGCACAAGATCTGAGAGATATTCTCGTTTCCCTTGCTTTGTCTTCTTCCCTTTCTTCTTGGACTGCTGAGGGTGGAGTGAAGTAGCTTGGAGCACATTTGTCTTTTTCAGGAGGAGACAGTTGCAGAACTAAGAACTGTTGAGAGTGAAGCAGCATCTTATCTGGACCAGATTTCTAGGTAGGCTGCTTGGGTTTGACCCAGGAATTGGGGGTGTTGAGGTGGTAAGCATTATCTTGCAGCTTCTTCCTCTTCTCTCTCCTTTCAGATATTATATTACAAGAGCCAAATTGGTTTCTAAAATAGCTAAATATCCCCATGTGGTAAGTAAGGGGTTTTTGGCCTGAGGGTGGAAGTGGCAGGATAGGGATGAGTGACTTTCTTGGGAGAGGGCTTTCTGGCCAGTCAGGCCTTGGGAGCTAGCCTTTCTCCTCCGTCCCTGCAGGAGGACTACCGCCGCACCGTGACAGAGATTGATGAGAAAGAATATATCAGCCTGCGGCTCATCATATCAGAGCTAAGGAATCAGTATGTAAGTCCGCCCTGCCCACAGTCACCTTGTTTGTCTTAGTTCTGTTGATAATTTTCTTGTCACTTTCTGGGGATTGAGATTGGGTATAAAATGAGTATAAAACAAATCCTTTTCAGTGGAGTGTTGAGAACTATGAAATCATTGAGGGTTTACCTGGAGGAAGTGTTATCTATCATAGTGGTAAAGACCCAGGTGTTAGAGTGAACAGACTTAGTTTTGAAACCAACTCTGCCTGCAGTGTGTGGTCTTGGCAAATCGTCTGACTGCAAACTTCAGTTTCTTCATCTCTGAAGACAGGTCATAGTGTACCTACTGCACAGTGACAATTGTTTAATGAGTGAGCTAACACGTTAAAGAACTTTGCAATTCTTGTTATGTGAAGTGCTCAAGATATAGTTTTAGATACTTGGGACCTTGGAAATACTCAGGTCTTTCTGGTTGGGGGCTGTAAGAAAGGTAGGTCAGTGAGTTGAGATTGTCCAGTTGGGGATTTGTTGGGAGGTTCGTGGAGAAGAGGAGCTGTCGCCTTTTGCTCTGTGAAGTAGGGATAGATAAGGTATGTGATACCCTGATGTCTCTTCTCCCAGGTCACTCTACATGACATGATCCTGAAAAACATCGAGAAGATCAAACGGCCCCGGAGCAGCAATGCAGAGACACTGTACTGAGGCCAGGGCCAGGGCCAGGGGACTCTGTGAGTCTGGCTCAAGACCGACATTGCCTTGGTTTGTTACATGACTATCGTGATGGGGAAACTGGCTGGAAATAGTAATCACACCTCTCTCTGTTTTTAGTTAGAGTCTAATGAAACTCTCATGTAGTTCTGTGACGTGTTTACCTCTTTTTTCAGGCCTCAGGAACTCTTCTATTTCCTCCCCTAATACCCCACACCCGACCTGTCCTAATTTCTGGAGAATTCCAGGTTTGTGTGTGCAAGATACTGGCACAAGAATACTGGTGTTTTCTCTCTCCTCCTCATCTCCTCCTGTGTCTCTGGCTTTGTGATTTTTTTTTTTCTTCCTTTTGATGATCAGATGGCTAGAAGCTGAGGGAACTAGAAGGAAGACCTGGGTGTTTTTTAGGAACTTGGCTTGGGAAACAGCTCCTCTTTTCCTAATGTAGGGCTAGCATCTCTGCTTCTATGGAACATTGAGCCTCCCTGCCACAGTTGCCCTAATGATGACTATGCATCCTACCTTGAATCTGATCATGACAACAAACACCTTAGACTTTCAGCCAAGTCCTTAGTCCTTCCAATATTTTTATAACTAGGATTCTCACCTGCACATATGTACTTGCATACACACACACACACAGACCAGACACATGCACACCTGCCTTCCTACTCTGTTACATGACATTTCCCCTCCCCCACCCCGGAATCCTCATACCTTTCAGGTGATCGATGTCTTAGTTGTCAGCTGCAGGGGCCCAGCGTCTCTGATATTGTGACCTTTTGGTGCCCAGGGTGAACTGGAAGGGAAAGAGAGACGAGAAGCAGAGGGAGAGTGCAAGGCCCCTTCTCTGTGACTTGGGCCCATTTGGGCATTACTGCAAAGGCTGGTCCTCTGATTCCTGGTTGCCACTTCCCAGGCCAGTTTTAATTTGGGGTGGGGATGAGGACCAGATGCTGCTGCTCCTGCTAGGCTTTCCCTTTGGGGAAAATATTTCTCTTATTTATAGTATTGTGCTTCCAGGGAAAGCATCCGTGTGTGTGTGCGTGCACACATACTTAGACCGTGTGCGTGCGTGTATGTACATACGTGCGTCAGTAAATCTGTTGGGCAAGTCAAATCCATAGAGGAGTTGCCTATTTTTCAGATTCTAGAGCTTATTGTTAACAGCTTTTATGTTCGCCCAGGTCAGCCCCTCCTGTTTCCTTCTCCCACTACTAGAGAGTCCTGATCTGCAGTCAGCCTGCTGGAGACCCCGCGCTTCTTTTCCGCTTACCCCTCTGTGTCTGTCTTCCAACCCGCACTTGCATTTCCACCCGGGCGCATCCCTTCACTCCCAGTGTGCTCTGTAGAGAAGGAGTCCCGATGCTGTCTTTCCATGAGTAGTGCTCAGTAACAAACCAATTGCATTTTAGTTGGGCAGTGCCCTGTCCACCCCCCAGGCCCCTTCCTGCTGAAACCCATCCCTCTCCTACCATGTTTCTCAGTTTCCCTTTTTGTTTTTTGGATGGTTCCACCGCCCCTCCTCCTCACCCTACCAGCCTTGGATCGTAATGTTAATTCTTTTACCATGTTAAGAAATTATTAAAAATACAGGTACTTTGACCTCTTTCTAAAGCTGCAGACCTTGGTGCAATGCTCTGGTGGCTAGGGGCACAATCACACTCGTGTTCACACTTGAACACCCATCTCCACATTCACATATTTCAGCCACCCTAGTGGGTGTCTTTGTTACCAGTTGAGTTGCTGCTTTTCTTTGGAATGATGGAATGACTGAGGCTTCTGCCTACCAAGAGGCAAGGCTTGGTCTGTCATTTGTGTTCAGTGTGAATTGTGTAAGTTAGCTCTTCTGAAACCTGAACTGCCTTCTGTTCCTGTGTGCGCAAGATCCCGGTTCCCTCCGTGCTTCCCTGTGGTACCCAGGAGCTGCCAGTAGAGGCTGCTGTGGTTCTGTGAACCTGGAATGACCTGGTTCAAGGCACACCCTACCCTGTCGTTTTCTTTACCTTCCACTACTTCTCCCCTCTGACAATATCTTAAATTTCTTAGGAGGTGCCAGAAACTCATGCTTTTGGTTTTCAAATGACTTGGAGGGCTGCCTAGGACCCTAGCTCCCTCTGAAATAAAAGTTTCCTCAACTTCCGTCTTGTAAAGTAGCCTCTGATATCCAGTGATCCCCTCATTGTCTCTGCAATAGAGATTTAAGGTCTTGAACAATGGAGGCATATCTGCTCTGTTCTGCTGCAGAGATTGCTACCAGCAGCTAACAATTTTTGAATACCTACTGGTGTCAGGCTCCATTAAACCCTGTACATACAGTATCAGGTTTAATTGTCATGACTATATAGTGTAGTTATGTCCCTTTGTAGTGAAGCACAGACAGTGTAAGTAACTCTTCTCAGGTAACATAGCGTAGGAACCTGGGATTGGGGTACAAACCTGGCTGTTAAATTGCCCTCTCCGCTCCTCTTTTCCCACTGACAGAGGAGCCCTGTGACTATAGATCAAGGACCTGGCATTAGGCTGAACTGGGCAGTGGATCCTAGAAATAGCAGGTATAGCGCCTGCCAGGAGTAGTTACCACTGCCTGCATGTAGCACACAGGACGAGACGGGGCACCTGAGACTGACATTCCTCAGACTCGCTCAGGGTGGAAGGTTGGGTGGAGGGGATGCCAGATGCCCTCTGATCCATCTAAATGACGGCCATCAGTAGTGAGTACTGACCTTGCTGCCGGTCGGAAGGAGTTCAGGGACAGGGGACAGACTTTGCGTCTGGAAGAAGTGCCTTGAGCCAAACCACAGAACAGAAAATTGGAACCGAATTATATAAATCAAGGTTAGAAATTTCCTGTCCAGCCCACAGGGTGGAGTTTTCTCCATCCCTAACCATCCTACTGAATATAAAGCCTGATTTGATGTTAGTAACGAGAAGGAGCATCTGATAGGACTCTCATTTCAGCTCAGCATCCACCATGAATCTCAAGGTACTCCTTGTGTTCCTGGCACTGTCCCTCATTACCATTTTTGCCCTGGCCTATGTCTTGCTGACAAGTAGAGGCTCCAGCCAGCCTCCCCTCTGCCCCGCCGTATCCCACGGCGCCCAGCCCTGGACACACCATGGCCAGGGCCAGCTCTTTGCAGACCTGAGCCCAGAGGAGCTGACGGCTGTGATGCACTTTCTGACCCAGCAGCTGGGGCCAGGCCTGGTGGATGCCGCCCAGGCCCAGTCTTCGGACAACTGCATCTTCTCCGTGGAGCTGCAGCTGCCCCCCAAGGCCGCAGCCCTGGCCCACCTGGACAGGGGGAGCCCCCCACCTGCCCGGGAGGCGCTGGCCATCGTCTTCTTTGGCAGACAAGCCCAGCCCAATGTGAGCGAGCTGGTGGTGGGGCCGCTGCCACACCCCTCCTACCTGCGGGATGTGACTGTGGAGCGTCATGGGGGCCCCCTGCCCTACCACCGCCGCCCTCTGCTGCCATCCGAGTATTTTCACATGTGGAAGCATTTGAAAGAGGTGGAGCTACCCAAGGCCCCAGTCTTCCTGGCTTCTGTCTTCAGCTACAATGGTTCCACTTTGGTACCTACGCATGCCAACCCTCGTGGCTTACGCTCAGGCGACCGAGCTACCTGGATAGCCCTCAACCATAACATTTCAGGTGTTGGTCTCTTCCTTCACCCAGTGGGGCTGGAGCTACTGTTGGACCACAGGGCCCTGGATCCTGCCCAGTGGGCTGTCCAGCAGGTCTTCTACCTTGGCCGCTACTATGCAGACTTGGGCCAGCTGGAATGGGAGTTTAAGGCTGGTCGGCTGGAAGTGGTTAAAGTCCCTCTACCCCTGCCAAATGGGGCTTCATCCCTGAGGTCCCGGGTCCCCCCTGGTCCTCTTCCTCTTCAGCTCTCACCCCAGGGCTCCCAATTCAGTGTACAAGGGAACTTGGTGGCATCCTCTCTCTGGACATTTACCTTTGGCCACGGGGTGTTCAGTGGCATGAGGATTTTTGATGTTCGGTTCAAGGGTGAGCGAGTGGCCTATGAAGTCAGTGTCCAGGAGTGTGTATCTGTCTATGGTGCCGACTCGCCCAAGACGATGATGATTCGATACTTGGATAGCAGCTTTGGACTTGGCAGTCATAGCCAGAGCTTGGTGCGGGGTGTGGACTGCCCCTACCAGTCTACAATGGTGGACATCCACGTGTTAGTGGGCAGAGGGGCGATCCAGCTGCTCCCAGGAGCTGTGTGTGTGTTTGAGGAAGCCCAGGGCCTGCCCTTTCGAAGGCACTACAATCACCTCCAGAGTCATTTCTATGGTGGTTTGGCCAGCTCCGCCCTGGTAGTCAGGTCTGTATCTTCTGTGGGCAACTATGACTACATTTGGGACTTCGTGTTCTACCCAAACGGGGCTCTGGAAGGGCGGGTCCATGCCACAGGCTATGTCAACACCGCTTTCCTCAGTGGGGGAGAAGAAAGCCTTCTCTTTGGGAACCGTGTGGGGGACCGAGTGCTGGGGGCCGTGCACACACACGCCTTCCACTTCAAGCTGGACCTGGACGTGGCAGGTGAGTGTGGGGTGTGAATTGAGAGTTGGGGTGGCGTAGAAGGAAGGGAGACCCCCCTAAATCAAGCCAGTGCTCGGTGAAAGGTGGCATTCATCACCCCAGTTTACTGATATCAGCATTTGGCTTCAAATACTGTGCCCCTTGTTACCCAGTGAAAGGGTTCACCACCCAAATCCTCTGACTTGCTGTTACTAAGAGATTAGTTTAAATGTAATGGCCTTGCCTGACTTAGCCTGACGGGACTCCGGGCTTGTGTCAGTTTGCTGATTGAAGCTGCTTGAGGCTGGAGTTGGGACTCTGCTGAATTATGAGGGTCAGTGGAGTTGGGGAAAAGTAGCCTACAGAGGTTTGGGGGGTAGGTGTGGTCCTGCGGCTGGACATGGGGAGTCTTGGCTGGAGACTGCTCCACAGGTTTCAGACACCTGGGAATACAGCCTAGTGGCCTCATCCTGGGTGGAGGAGGGGGTACCCCATCCCCCAGCACCTTTCATCACAGTGGACTCTGGTGCTGTAAGGGTAGGGGAAGATTTCTCAAGCCAGGTTCAAGGCACAGAGGACTCACTCCTGGTAGATCCTTGTCAAGGACAAAGTAACTTAGCAAGTCAGACTGAGTCAAAAGAGAATTAGAAACCCATTAGACCCTCTCACAGGGAAGCTGAGGTGAGGTGAGGTGGGCCGGGAGTAACTCCACTATAACAGCTTATTGTGAGACCGTTTTCTTCTGTGTAAAGGGGTGGGGGTGGGGGGCGCAGCAGGGTCAAGGAGAGGGAAGATAAGAAAAGCGTGACGGGAGTGAGCTTATTAACTAGGATATTTTATATATTGGTATATGTCTATGATTTGAAGTTTCTCTAAAGCACTTTTGGCATTGAGTGTCCTCTTGGCAGGTAAAATCAAGTAACATTTCTTGGGTCCCTAGAATGTGTAACACAAGTTGGTGCTATAGGCCAGAGGCAGTGCCAGTTGCCTCCACCTAGGTCATGGGCAATGGAATTGACAATTGCAGAAAGAAAATGTGACCAAGTGCCAAGTGGGGTGACCAGGGCAGGTTTTAAATGTAGCAGTTCTAGGGAGCTCCCAGACAAGTAAGAGATACACAACTACTGGGAAAAGAGGATGGTTCCCGCCTTGCTGAGAAAGTCTCCGAGCTGGAGGGTGTCCATAGGCCAGTGCAGAACAGGATGAGGTATTTCCAGCCAACTTCACTCAAACTAACCCCTTCCATATTTCAATGACACCAGCCCCTTGCACCTGCTTCTCCACTCTCAGGGCTCAGCCGTAGAACAACTTAGTTACTGTGCAGAGATTCAGAGAGTGATATAAAGAATTGGCCCAAGGACCATGGGATCTTTGGCAGGATCAGAAATACGCTGTTTGCATCCATCACTAGTGACTTGTAGCTACTGAGCACTGTCACTCCTGTGACCACAGAACTGGGTTCTTTAGGTTGTGGAAGAGCCGCCTGAGGCTGCTGGCAGCTGCAACCGGGCAGGTGACCCGAGAAGGGGCCGGCCTCAACCCAGACCTGGCCCACTGCCTTGCCAGGCTTGGGTAGTAGGCATCCTCGGGGAGCCGGAGGGCCTGTCTCACCTGCTCTGGAACGCTCCCCCTTCCCCTGGCAGGGCTGAAAAACTGGGTGATAGCTGAAGATGCAGTGTTTAAGCCTGTCGCAGCTCCCTGGAGCCCGGAACACCAGCTGCAGCGCCCACAGATGACTCGGCAGGTTCTAGGGAGGGAGGACCTGGCAGCTTTCCCGGTGGGAAGCCCCCTGCCCCGCTACATTTACCTGGCTAGCAACCAGACTAACGCCTGGGGCCACCAGCGTGGATACCGCATCCAGGTTCACAGCCCCCGCGGCTTACACATGCCTCTGGAGAGCGACATGGAGAAGGCCCTCAGCTGGGGGAGGTGAGGAGGGCCCTGGGTACCGGGTGGTAGGGAAGGACCAGCCCCCTTCACCAGCTCTTGGAGACCCCACTCTGTCCCTGCTTACCATTCATCTCTGTATCTCCTCTTAGATGTGGGATGGGAAGTAGCCATACACATGTTACCCAAAGGACTCTGGGCCAGTAAAGTTCCTTGACATTTTCTGATACAACATTCCTGGTCAGATACCAGCTTGTGGTGACCCAGAGGAAGGAGAAAGAGTCACAGAGCAGCAGCATCTATTACCAGAATGACATCTGGGCATCCACTGTGGCCTTTGCTGACTTCATCAACAATGAAACCCTCTTAGGAGAGGTTGGTAGCACGGGGCAGGGAGGAGAGGGGCCCCACTGGGCCTGGCATCTTGGCTGCCCAACATCCGAGTGTGGGCTGTAGGAAACGGTTTCCAGTTCTCAGACTTGGGCTGTGGAGTTCTCTGATGACCACCTTGGCGAATCCCTGCCAGAGAGATTAAGATTAGCCATGGGTGACCCCATCCTGCACTGCTGATGGATTGGGTGGAGGTTGGGGATGGTGGCTGAGGGGTGGTCCTCTGGGTCTCCCCTCCAGAACCCTCCAGCCCCCCTCTTCCTCCAGGACCTGGTGGCTTGGGTTACAGCCAGCTTCCTGCACATCCCGCATGCCGAGGACATCCCCAACACGGTGACTCTGGGGAACAGAGTCGGCTTCTTGCTCCAACCCTATAACTACTTTGATGAGGACCCTTCCATCTACTCCCCCGGCAGCGTCTTCTTTGAGAAGGGTCAGGATGCCGGGCTCTGCAGTGTCAACCCCGCAGCCTGCATTCCCCAGATGGCAGCCTGTGTCCCAGACCTCCCACCTTTCTCTTACCGAGGCTTTTAACCCAAGGGCGTGGGGGTCACGGTGGGCATGGGGAGCTGAGACAAGTACCTTCCCTCCTGTTCCCATTTTCTGCTGCTACTCTGACTCCACCCTCTTGCTGTTTCCTAGGAGGCCATCTCCGCCCACACCAGAGCCCCCCTTGTCCTTCCGTTAGTTCTGATTGCCAATCTCTTTTTAAAAACCTGAATTTATACTAATTACATTATTAAAAGAAGTAGAACACCACAGGTCCCACCACACAGAAATAACTACTGTTCACATCTGGTGAACGTTCTAGCAGACATTTGTGCATGTGCATTCAAATGCAAGAAGAAAATTTTGTAAAAAGTAGATGCTATGTATGTATAATTTATAATAAAAAAATATATAATTGTCTACTTGAATTTCTTCTGTTTGGCTGCTTTTTAAGTTCTAGAGTTCTCCAGAGAATACTAAGGACTCTGGCCAAGAAAATTAGTAATGGAAGCAAGGGCAAAGGGAACAGACTTGGCCAAGAAATGCTTGCTTGGGAAGCTGACGGGTTGGAGTGGGGGTTTCCTTGGAAGGAGAACAATAGTTCCAAGCAACAGGAAGGGGACCTTGTGGCCCTGGGTAGAAGTGGGGTTGAGGGGGGCAAGCAGCTGCTCTGACAGTCAGGGCTCCTCCCGGGTGGTGCATTTCTGTTCTCAGGCTGGCTGGCAGAGTTGACTTAATACTCCCACCCCCAAGCTCCACCCTTCCCCCTACCAAATGCTGCCAATTCTGAAGCTGACCCAGAGAACAGTCTGATTTGGAACCTGGAGGACAGAGCCATGTAAGGTCTGTGGAAATCGCTGCTACCCTTCAGGCCCGCCCCCCACCCCTGCCGCACCACCGCCTCCCCGGCTTCCTGTGTCCTTCCCACCCGTAGTCTCCTGTGCTCCGGCTACCAGCAGTCTCAACCAGAATCCAGGAGCCCCCACCCTAGGAGACAAGTGAGACCAAGCCCTGCTAACCTAAGACTGCACTTCACTTTGGTTCAAAACTGTTTTCTCTGCTCACAATGAACCAGAAGACCACTCTGGTGCTCCTTGCTCTGGCTGTCATCACCATCTTTGCCTTGGTGTGTGTCTTATTAGCTGGCAGGGGAGGAGATGGGGGTGAATCCAGCCAGCCTTTCCACTGCCCCTCTGTAGCTCCCAGCGCCCAGCCCTGGACACACCATGGCCAGGGCCAGCTCTTTGCAGACCTGAGCCCAGAGGAGCTGACGGCTGTGATGCGCTTTCTGACCCAGCAGCTGGGGCCAGGCCTGGTGGATGCCGCCCAGGCCCAGCCCTCGGACAACTGCATCTTCTCCGTGGAGCTGCAGCTGCCCCCCAAGGCCGCAGCCCTGGCCCACCTGGACAGGGGGAGCCCCCCACCTGCCCGGGAGGCGCTGGCCATCGTCTTCTTTGGCAGACAAGCCCAGCCCAATGTGAGCGAGCTGGTGGTGGGGCCGCTGCCACACCCCTCCTACCTGCGGGATGTGACTGTGGAGCGTCATGGGGGCCCCCTGCCCTACCACCGCCGCCCGGTGCTGCTCCGAGAGTACCTGGACATAGACCAGATGATCTTCCGCAGGCAGCTGCCCCAGGCCGAAGGCCTCCTCCACCACTGCTGCTTCTACAAGCGCCAAGGATACAACCTGGTCACCATGACCACAGCCCCCCGGGGCTTGCAGTCGGGGGACCGGGCCACCTGGTTTGGCCTCTACTACAACATCTCAGGGTCTGGGATTTTCCTGCACCCCGTGGGGCTGGAGCTGCTGGTGGACCACAAGGCTCTGGACCCTGCTCACTGGACCATCCAAAAGGTGTTCTTTCAAGGCCGCTACTATGAGAGCCTGGCCCAGCTGGAGGACCAGTTTGAGGCCAGCCTGGTCAATGTGGTGCTGATCCCAGACAATGGCACAGGTGGGTCCTGGTCCCTGAAGTCCCAGGTGCCACGGGGTCAGCCCCCACCTCTGCAGTTCCACCCCCAGGGCCCCCGCTTCAGTGTTCAGGGGAGTCAGGTGGCCTCCTCACTCTGGACTTTCTCCTTTGGCCTCAGAGCTTTCAGTGGCCTAAGGATCTTTGACATCCGCTTCCAGGGAGAACGGCTCGCTTATGAGATCAGTCTCCAGGAGGCCCTGACCGTCTATGGAGGAAACACCCCCGCGGCAATGCTGACCCGCTATCTTGACGGCAGCTTTGGCATGGGCAAGTACTCTACATCCCTGACCCGTGGGGTGGACTGCCCGTACCTGGCCACCTATGTGGACTGGCACTTCCTGATGGAGTCCCAAGTTCCCAAGACAATTCATGATGCCTTTTGTGTGTTTGAACAGAACCAGGGCCTCCCCCTGAGGCGGCACCACTCTGAGTTCTATTCCCACTATTTTGGGGGCCTTGCGGAGACAGTGCTGGTGCTCAGATCCGTGTCCACCTTGCTCAATTATGACTACCTGTGGGATGTGCTCTTCTACCCCAATGGGGCCATAGAGGTCAAATTCCACGCCACAGGCTACATCAGCTCAGCGTTCCTCTTTGGTGCTGCCCGAAGATTTGGGAACCAAGTTGGGGAGCATGTGCTGGGCACTGTCCACACCCACAGTGCCCACTTCAAGGTGGACCTGGATGTAGGAGGTAAGACATCCTTGTGGGGTGAGGATTCTGGAAGAGAAAACTAAGGAGATGTCTCCATTTCTTTGGATTTTGTGGAGATTGTCCAGAAAAGGAAGATTTAGTCGTGAGTATAAAGTTTTGGAGTTTCATGCTTCTTCTTTAGCTGTATGGGAAAGAGTTGACTGCTGATTTTTATTTGGGTCTTAGTTCACTCTCTGGGTGGACAGCTGCCACCTTCCTTGCATGTGACCTCATCAGAAAATCTTGGGAAACGGCAAAGCTCAGGGAGGAGGCAGGATCCGGGCTGACAGGGTCCCCTGCGTCCCCTCCCCGCTCTTGCACTTACATGGCCCTCCAGGGAGGCAGCCACTTGTTTGTGGGTGCATTTCTCTGCGTCCGAGCCATGGCACTGGGTGTTTTAGAGGATTTGTGTCCGCTCCGCCAAGTCCCTGGAACATGGAGGCCAGTTGAGCAACACTCTTACTCTTCCCTGGTTTTCCATCGCTCGCTGGGCAATACACATAAGCATGAGGGAGTAGAATGAATACGCTGGAACGTTCCTGATAGTTCCTGGGCATGGAGCAACCAAGCTACATGATGAGTCAGAACACTTGTCTTTTCACTCTCCTTCCCTACTTGAGGTTCATCTCCCAGTTTTTTTGTTGTGTCTCTGAAGAGTTGAGACTTCTCACTGGGCTTCGTTGCGTTGCTCTCCCCTGTTGGTGCCAGCTTTCTGCCCACTGCTCCCACTCCGATCCAGTATCCACTCAGAGTCCAGAGAGACCCACCGGTCCGTGCCAGCCTGCTTCCTCAGGGGGCTCCCACTTGCCCATCACCTGTAGGAACCCAGCCACAGAGCCACCCTGTGTCCCAGACACGCCTGGCCGCCTCCGCATCCCAGTGCTAGCTGAGCTCTGGGCACGTCCCGCATGTTACCGCTGGCTTTTTTGTTTTGCACATGCTTTCCCTGCCCTTCCATGTCTGCTAGTGACACCCCCTAAGGCCAGGCTGAAAACGTGTTCCTGCCTGTATTTGTTTTTAAGATTTACTTTTTAATTGATGTACAAGAACTGGGGCACAGGCCAGAGGTGCAGGGGGTGAAAGGATTTACCAGAGAGAGAGTAGGGAGCAGAAAAGGCAGATCCACCAAAATACATTGCTGAGGGGAGCAGCAGGGAGACAGGAGAGAACTGCTGCACCTTATGGGTCAGTTCCCTGGCCGGGGCTCGAACTTGCGCAGCAGTGGCTGGGGATGGCTTCCCAGCACCGAGACTTAAACCCCGAGCACCACCTAGGAGGCCCCTCCTGCCTGTATTTGTGTTCCTATAACCTTGAACTTTGATTGTGCTCCTCACATTGCGGGCCCATCCTGGCTTTGCCTCCCTGGCTCCTCCATGAAAGCAGGAGGGTAAGGATGACGCTTCACTCATCTCTGCGTTCCCAGGGCTGGGCATGGGCTACTCCATTAAGGAGTATGATGGATGAGTGAGCTAAAAACCTTGAAAACATATTTTAATAGCTTTGAATGAAAGATTGAGAATTCCCTGAGGAGAAGAAAAACGGGGTACACTCAGGTCTGAGCTCTTCCTTGCCCCCCACCACCACTTTGAAGTTGTGGGGCGGAATGCAGAGGGGACAGAGTAGCTTCATGACCAGTCCCTCCCCCACCCCCATCAACCCCTGCAGGACTAGAGAACTGGGTCTGGGCTGAAGACATGGCCTTCGTCCCCATGGCGGTGCCGTGGAGCCCTGAGCACCAGATGCAGAAGCTGCAGGTGACCCGGAAGCTGCTGGAGACAGAGGAGCAAGCGGCCTTCCCCCTGGGGAGCACCCCCCCGAGATACTTATACCTGGCCAGCAACCACAGCAACAAGTGGGGTCACCCACGGGGCTACCGCATCCAGATGTTCAGCTTTTCTGGGGAGCCACTGCCCCAGAACAGCTCCATGGAGAGAGCCTTCAGCTGGGGCAGGTGAGTCAGTGTCCAGAGAGCTGAGGGAGGTGCGAATGAGAAGGGAGCTTTGGCCAGGTGGTTGGGAGCTCAAATGAGAAGAGGTGAGAGGAGCTGCAGGAGGATTTCCTGGTTATCAAAGTCACCCCACTGGGCACACCTTCCTCAGGGGGCGCTAACCCGAGGTGAGGGCTGGTCCCTGTTTTGGACAGGGTGGGGCCATGATTTGAAAAGGCAGGGGGATGACCCCGCAGGCTGGCATCAGGTGTGAGGGTGTGAGTGACAGGGGACAGCTCAGGCCCCTGTGCTCAGCTCCCTCCCTTGCAGTTAGGTGTGTGTGTGGGGGGGAGATAGCCAGGGTGCAGAGCCTGAGCCTGTCTCCCTAGGTACCAGCTGGCAGTTACCCGGCGGAAGGAGGAGGAGCCCAGCAGCAGCAGCATCTATAATCAGAACGACCCGTGGGCCCCCACCGTGGACTTCGCTGCCTTCATCAACCACGAGAACCTTACCGGAGAGGTCAGTGGCCCAGTGGCCGGGGCTGAGGAAGGGAGGCAGGGGCACGGAGATGACCCACCTTACTTAGCGGTCTCTGAACCCGTAAGATCTCTCTCTCTGCTCCATCGTTACCCCTTGAGGGGTTCTCCAAGTCTCAGCTGTTGGGGGTGTCTCAAGAAGAGCTCAAGTCCCATCTCTGCATCTCAATTTCTCCCTTTCCTGGCTTCACCACGAATGAATTCATTCTGAAAAATGGCCTCTTCTGCCTCCAGACCTCTGACCTTCCCTCCTCCCTCCTTCTAAAGTTGGGAACTCTTGGAGAGTGAGGGGGAGAGGAGCCCTAGTAGTCTGTGATGTGACTCCTCTGAGGGTGGGTAGTCTGAAGGCCGTGTGATGGGAAATGTCACAGTCGGCAGGTGCAGGCGGCCAACAGGCCTTGCACCCAGTAGGAAAATATCTATTTGTGCTTTGACTTCTGGACCAGTAGGAAAAAAATGTTTACACATAAGATCCCTTTGAGGGAAAACATCTGGCAAGGTGAATCCTTAACGCACAAGGCCACTGTGGAGGCAGGTGTGACCTCAGCAAAGCCTCCTGATTCTTTCTCCACTAGGACTTGGTGGCCTGGGTGACAGCTGGTTTCCTGCACATTCCACACTCAGAGGACATCCCCAACACAGTGACCGTGGGGAACAGTGTGGGCTTCTTCCTGAGACCCTACAACTTCTTCGACCAGGACCCCTCCTTGGATTCCACTGACTCCATCTACTTCCGGGGGGATCAGGATGCGGGGGACTGTGGGGTCAATCCCCTGGCTTGCCTCCCCACCACTGCTGCCTGTGCCCCTGACCTCCCTGCCTTCACTCACAGGGGCTTCTCCCACAACTAGGTTATCTCTGGGTGGGGACCTGGCTGGTTCTCTTTTCTCCCTCATCCCTTAGTCTCCCTCCTTGCCCTTTTCCAGGGCCCTCTCTCTATCCCAGCCTCTGATACCCCACTCCCTGCTGGAGCATCTTGAGACTGTCATGGCAGATACAGGGGGCACTCAGTTGTAGATCCCAGACCCCCTGGCTTCCTATCACAGAAAGGAGTGGCCAGCAGGAGCCTGAATGATGGCCAGGCTTTTCCCCAGCACAATCCCCACCCCACCTTACCCCCACTTTTCTCCTCTCTCTCTCTCACCAGCTTTTCTAAATCTTCCCAGACCACCCCCAGGTCCCTCCCAGGCTTCCCAGGCCCTCTGCCAGCTAGAGGTGGGCCTGGGGCTCCGTTCTGGGAACAGTTCCCCTGCAGCCCCAGGTCAGGGTCCAGCCAGACCTGCCTCTACATAGATGAGCCAAAGGGGCCCTGAGGCCACACTCACTGTCAGCCAAACTCTCCTGCTGTCCTCCTCCTTCTGTGCCTGCTGTGTATCGAGAGAAGGGGGGGCCCTCACCTGGTGCTGGGCAGATGTGTGCCCCTGAATTATCTCTGCCCCTTTTACACACTTGCTCATCCAGACAGCAGCAGTACCGAGTTCACCTTCTAGGTGGCCTTGTGTGTGTGGTGTGTGCTAGGCTGTGTGTGACCAGTGGCCTCTGAACCGCCCAACAGCCAGGTGGAGGCAGGCAGGCAGGCAGGTGGGAAGCAGAAGGACCCAGGACTCTGGCCCCCCTCCCCGGCCAAGGGCTGTCCAATCACGTGCAGACATGCAAATGAGCAGGGCTTCAGGTGGAACCTCCCTCCAGCTGCCTCCTGGGCTCTGGGTCGCTATAAATAGCAAGAGATGGCTGTTTTCTGGCCACAGCAGAAATGTCCCATCATTTCTGGGAGAAACATTCTGCTACAGCCTTGCGGTGCAATACTGTAGAGCTATGTAAACAACGACATCTCTAAGTTTATGGGGAATCTCTCAATGCAAAAGGCAAGGCTCAGAAGGGTGTTGGTGCACTTCCCATTTGTTTTCCAGAGGACCAGAATATAACACAGATTTGCTTATGTGTGTATTCGGAAGAAACTGGTAATACTGGTCTCCATGGGAGGGGGAACAGAAGCTTGGGGGTGGGGAAGGGAGGGAACTTGGAACTGTGCAGACTTTGTATATATTGAAGTTTGAACCATGTGTCTGTGTTACCAGTTCAAAAGAAATAATAAATGGTCCCAAACAGAACCTGGATTTTGTTTGTTTTCTAACTGACATGTCTTTTAAGAAAGGTGGCACTGGAGTTAAAGACACAGTGCTGTCAAGTATCCAGCCTCTGCAGTCTGAGCAGACCCGCCTGTTCTGCTCCCAATCTGTCTCTAGCGAATCCCCTCACCCCCACTCTGGCCTACAGTCCAGTTTTTGTATGCATAAATAAATCAAATAAATCTTTTCGACAAACACACAAGAAAGGGTGGTGGGAAAGGGAAGTGACTTAAGAGAGGGGACCAGTGGCCCTCCCTGGTGGCGCAGCGGGTTAAAGCATAGCACTGAGAATCTAAAGCCACTTCCTCGGAGGTGACCCCATGGCGTGGCAGACCTCTCCTGATCCCACCCGCTGCTCCCCTCAGCAGTGTACTTTGTCGATCTGCCTGTTCTACTCCCCACTCTGTCTCTGGTGAAGCCTCTCACCGCCCCAGAGCCTCTGGCCTGTACCCCAGTTCTGTATGCACAAATAAATCTTTTAAAAAAAAGAGGGGGGGGGGCCAGTGACGCACTTGTCTCAAATTGCTGAGACCCAGAGGAAAGCACGTGGCTTCTACTCACTCCTTCACCTCTTCTCTTGCTTGGCTATCTCTGAGGAAAATGTTAAATCTCACTGGGTTAGCAATGGCTGGATTAATTTATTACATGGCTTGAGTCTCTTGAAAGAGAGACAGCAGAAGCAGTCCAGGAGAAAGTGAAGACTGATGGGGAGAAAAGGGGGTGTCATGTCCCCTGAGGCTCATATGCTTTCTACTGCTCTTCCTCTGACTTAGTGATTTAACATTTTTAAATGCTTAACTTTCCATCTCCCCTCCTTCTACTCCATTTTAGGGTCAGGTGCGTAGTGGTCTGGGGAAAAACCTCACCGCCCAGTCATCCAGCAGGAAACCTTCATGGCCTCTAAGTTGCCGGGTTTTCCTGTCCTTGCTCTTTAAAGCTGCCGCAGGAGTAATGGGGTCATACTAAGGCAGAGAGAACGGCAGGGTCCCTTGCCCCAGGCTGCAATTGAACATCAATAACTGACTCTCTGGGGTGACCAGTTCCCCTGTTGGTTTTGTTTTGCTGATCTGGTTTTCATGCTCTGCAGAAGCTTTTCATGGAAAACAGTGTTTTAAATGTTTTTAAAAGATTTGGAAGCATTTTAGTGAACAAATACAAAGTTTTTGGTAAACAATTTAGAAAAGCTTAAGCTTACACTTTGACAGACACATAGCTCTCTCATTCCTCAGCTCCTCACCCCAGAACAATCACTTTCAGGGCATCTCCTGGGTCATCAAGCCCATTGTGGGAGGAGGAAAAAGGAGAGACTAGGCCTTTCCTATGCAATCAACACCAGGCCTGTCTCCTCTACCCTTAAACTCATTCCTTCCTCTGTCCTCAAGGTCACTGGCTGCATTCTGGCCTCTTGTCAGATCTCCTCACCTCTTGTCAAGTCTGAGGTGCAGAGTCTCCTCACTAGAGTGCAAATGGAGCTGAGTGACTCCAGACTTAGGAGCTCCGGCTGCCCCTGGGGCTGGCAGGGCAGTTGTTCTGCTGAGTCAGCCTGTTCTGGGGCCCAGTGTTCAATCTGTGGGTCAGGGGTGAACTCTGTCTGTCTCCCAGGAATACCCATAGGCCTTGTGTTCAGAGACTGGAGCCAAGTTTATTCAAAAGGAAATAAGACCTGGGGGAGGGGAAGGGGGAGTAGGATTATGGTCCTGTCTCCTGAGTAATTTTCTGAGAGGCAACTTTTCAGCAATTTTTTTTGCTATTTGATAAGAGATTGCTAATGAATTTACTCAATTGTGAGTCAGAACTTTATCTGCAAATGGAAATAAGACTTATTTGAAGGTGCAGTGTATTTCAGAGGATCTGCCTGTCCTGCTCCCCACTCTGTCTCTGGTGGATCCTCTCAACCCTGCACCTCTGGCCTACACACCAGTTCTTGTATGCATAAGTAAATAAATATTTTTTTAAAAAAGACTTAGTTGAGGGCTTTATGGGACTGAGCATCTCTGTAGCAAGGCTGTATGAATTCTCCAGTGTGGGTGAAAAAGTCAGTTTATATAGGTAGAGCTGTAAACAAATAAACTATTTTTAATATTTTACTTACTTATTTTTGCATAGAAGAAGTAGGATATAGGCCAGAGATGTGAGGGGTGAGGAGATTCACCAGGGACAGAGTGGGGAGCAGAACAGGCAGATTACTGAAACACACTGCTGAGGGGAGCAGCAGGTAAGACAGGAGAGGTCTGCTGTGCCATGTGGGTCAGCTCCCTGTCGGGGATTTGTAACAGGGTGGTCCCTAGGAAAAAGGGAAGTTCCAGGGTCCCTGCCCCACCCAGGGGCAGGAGGGTGGAGCTGAGCCGAGAAAAAGGAGAAGAGAGAAGGAAGCTGGATGGAGAGCCAGAAGGAGACCTGAGGAAGCCACATGGAGCAGCAAGCATGTGATGACGAAACCGTGCTTGTTTCCTGACCCCGGACTGGTTAAGGCAGATGTGGGTGAGAGACCTGCAGGGAGGTGACTATGGCAGTGTTTATATTGGTTTTGATTTTGCTCTTCTCCTCCCAGACTTGTCTGGCCATTTCTGACCCTTTTCCACGGGTCCCGGCCAGAAGGTGCTTTTAGTCTTGTGGCGGCTTTCAAGCCTTGCTTTGGGCCAACCCCTTTTGGGTTGACTTTTGTCCACGAGGGGATGGGTGACTTCAGATGTTTGATTTAGAAGTTCTATTCTTTGTGTTCCAAATTGTATATTCACTGTATTAAAGTCCCTTTTCATTAAAGTTTTATATATGTTTTGTCTTCTTGCGGCGATGGCAGAACCCACTTAGAGCAGGCAGGATTTTGGGGCTTCAGAGGTGTCCCTCTCCCCCTGTTCTGGAACAGATTTGGGGTGCCCTATAATAGATTGACTTGGGCCACAGGGCACTGAGGCTTAACCCCTGTGCCACCAGGGAGGCCCAGAATGAGCATTTTTGACCCCAGTTTGGTAATGCTAGTTAGGACAGACAACAGTAGTCATGTAACTGGGTGGTCCCTAGGAGAAGGGAAGTTCCAGGTTCCCTGCCCCACCCAGAAGGAGGGTGGAGCTGAGCAGAGAAAAAGGAGAAAGAAGAGAGGAAGAGAAGGAAACCAGATGGAGAAAAAGGAGGAGACCTGAGGAA